TGACCACTTCCCCTGTTTATTCACCCCGTGGACTCACCTGGCCTCACAACCGTGTCCGCGTACGATGAATTAGAAGGTTTGTGTTGGACTGTTTCCCACTGATCCGTCGTTAACTGCCAATGACTTATGCACTGAACTGTTCACGCACACGACGCATTAATGCGCGTGAACGGTCCGGCTCACACACGCACACCCTGATCCAGCTGTCCAATAGGCAGTTGAGCCTCCATCACCACCTGTCTTTTTCGTTGTTCTCTGAGCATTCGGTTGCCCCGGTGTGGGTCTCATGTTCACACTGGGAATTTCAACGGAATCAAATGCGATTCAGCAGTCTGTTGTGGGTTAGTTGGTGTACGAGAAATGCCGCTCATTCAGTGAGAAGTCTAGAAGGGCATAACAACAGATTGCAACGTGTCTTCAATGCCACGAATTCGAACTGCAGATGCAGTGTTTGTAGTCGCATTAGGTCATAGTGATAGCCCTGGAGGATAAGTGTACATGCAAAGTCATCTCGCGACTTGACAACGTGATCGTTTAGACAAAATGCCCACTTCGCGTGTTCACGATCACTTAAACAAAACCCAAACGAAGTTAATTTAAAAATGGAACGATGTTTTTCCATGTATAGTCCATAGAACAGGCTGAAAATTGACCTAGATTGGAGAGTTATCTGGGAGATCAAGTCTAGGACCTGCAACCACCTGCCTTGGTAGGCCGAACGGCCACCCTGAAAACATATGTCCAGGCTCACGGGACAGACGCAGTGTCATGAGATCCACGCCGGCATTGAGCACGATTGCTCTGATCGAAGCCATGCCGTGACCAGTTGCGTTGCGGTCACAAATTCAATCAGGTCACAGCTTGTAAAGCGCGCAAACTTGGAGAATCGATGTCAGAAGAATTACTTGTACTCACTCGGCAACCCATACCTCTTAGTTCCTGCAGGCAGTGTGAGTAGAGTGTTTAATGTAACCACTCGACGTGAGCCCAAGACCGTCCGCCTCTTTGACGCTAAGATCTCAACTCCTCGACCGTTCACATGTTTAGTGAATTGGGCTCCCAGATATTACTGCAGCAATGTGTTTAAAATTCCGAAACAACCTTTTAAGCTCTTTGAAGCGCACGACAACAGGCGACGGCTTCTCCGTATTAAAGCAGAAAGACCACAATGAGGAACTGGTAACAGAAAAATCGATAATTGCACTCGGGGTTGAGCATAATCCCCGCAACACAACGGCACAGACGAATAGACTCTTTGAAGTTCGCATGTTATCGTGGACATTGTCACGATAAAATCCTAGTGTTTTTTTCTATTTCTGGCTAACACCTACGAATGATCACACACAGTCAATCCACTTGTCCAACTGTTTGTTCCAATGCGAATGACGCTTAGTCTGGGAACTAGCCTCCACTCACCACAACGAATTCGGTCGTGCGAGCTTACAAGAAACTCAGCGAGCAATTACACACACACACCAAGAATTTCTGATCACAGAAAGAATTAGAACAATACTTTTCAAAGTTACCATTTGGTTGAACCACCATGCAGAATGCAAAACCGAATAAATATCCGTCACGTTTGGGACAAATGCACTATCCTCGGTACATTCCAACGCGGCGTACTTTGTTGTGATAAGGATATATTCACGTCCCGGGGGAAAGGGCCTACCAAGTTCAGATAACATGTTTTCGGTTAGAATAAAGAAAAAAAGTGTAGATAACGGGCACCTCTAACACCTAAGTAGAACACAAGTTAGAGAGGATCAGAATGATGGTCGTTCAAAGGAAAGGGTTAAGGGGGTTGGGGGTGTTAATTGGAACGGTCGCCTGAAATTGCGGTCGTTGATGGAAGGAGTTGAGAGGAGGACGATGGACGAACGCGACATACTGATTTGCATTGGTCAGTCCCACGTTGGGCGGCGTCGAGGACTGGGCTTGAGGCCGATACACCACCTGGGACGCGGGCCTGGACACTGCCTGTGACGGCGGATTAAATACCTGAAAAAAGAAAAGAACTCCCCGAATTTGCACAAACAAGGCCAAGGGCCTTCGGAAAATGCAGAGCGCAGGAAGACGCTCACCCCACCAGGCTCACTTGGTTTGCCAATCGGACAACACGGCAAATCAAATTAACATTAGGTCCTGTTTAAATCTTGACTGAGAGAAGTGAATGCGGACGGATTAGCGTGTATGTGACTTTGAAGCGACTCAAATCAAAAAATAACTGCCTGATCAGTCTACCACAGTTTGTGTGAATTAAAATGTCAACAGTTGTAGAAGGCCTACTCGTGGACAATAAATACAGTCAATAGACAGGAAGGACAAGGGATGATGAAGTGTAAAAAGACCAGAACTACGAATGCTTAGCGCGCGAGTACGCGGCCATTAGTAAAGTCTGGTTGCGCGGATGCTCGCTTCTGCTCGATTGGTAGTTAACACCTCACAGACAAAAACAGGAGTAAATTTAGACGGTGAAATTTGCGGCTGAGATAGACGGTGTATACCTGGGTGACTGAGTCACATGACGGGCTACGGAACTCAAGTGTCTGGTACGCTAGGCTCACCGACAGCCATTAATAAACTACACAGATTGCGCGGGTTCACGTGTACCGAAATTTAGACGAATTGAACCCTGAAAAAGCAATTAACCAAAGTTACTTGGTCCCGTCTCTCAAAACTTACTAAATTACACTGCGTATTAAAAAGCGAAGGCGATTTGTTTAAACGAAATTCAAAAAAACCGCAACCGGGAAAGTTACCCTACTTCAACGTAAGGATAGCGGCGACAGAGTTGCTTCCTCCACATTTGACCCCACAGAAGAAACTTACGATGACGGTGATAAGGACGAACTTACATGGCGACCACCACGGAATTTACTTTTTTGGGTAAAAAAATGCCTATAACTCTAAGTACAGGCAATTTTGTGGACGAGAGATGCTGCCATGAAACGCTGATGCAATGAATCAGTAATATGGCTACTAATATGACTGCGGTAATTAGATTAGCGAGGCAACCGAGGCAAAAAAAATTGCACAAAAAGAAGACGATGCGAAAGGAATGCATAAGCAAACAAATCACATTACCGGCAAATCAACTTACCTACGCATTTCAAATCTAGTTGACTTTCCTAAGGGATCTAATTAGGTGACAAAATAACACTTATATGGTCTTGGATGAGATAAGGAAAGTCACAAGTTGGTTTCCGCTATGTGTGCGGGAATAGACAACACTTGGAGCTAGGCAAAAAGGCTTGTTCGTTTTGGCGAAACACACTCGCTTAGGCACCAACGCGCGAGTGTTCGTTGACACGTGGCCAGAAGTCTGATTAGTTGGTAAAACGGAAACCCGGATGCAATACTCACAGTGGAGGCCAATAAGACCCACTGCTCGCGGTTCTATGTATGATGGGTGAATAGGACCTTATGGTGAGGTCGCCAAAAGCGATAAAGCCTGCCTTTAGGCTAGCACAATGTTCTAAAAGCTGACAAAGGGACTAAACGTTGGGAGTTATAGCACCACCGTAGAGACTGGCAATCAGAGCGTGACTGTCTGGAACAACAGGAAATGTGTGAGACGACAGACTAGCAACAATGGCTGAATCCCTAACCGGTTAAGTACCCACCTGGTTAGAAAGAGGATTGTTGTTGGCGGAGGCGAGTTGAAGCCCGCCTCCCGCGCCCACCCAAGGGTTCATTGTGGAGGGCTGAGGGCGCACCAAGGGGCCAGTTGGTGGGGGAGACAGCTGAGGCGGTGCAAATTGTCTGCCGCCGGCAGACCAACCCATGTTTGCACAGCCTCTGGCGTTCGAAACGGTCAATTGGCCGGCTAACTCTGCCAAGCGGCTGTCCAGGTCAATGGTTGCATTAGGCTGATTTGAGGCGCTGGAGGCTAAGATCAAATACACGGGTTAGCACAGAGTCATTTGGAGTACTCGCAGTCGCATTTAAACAAAAATTCAGTTATCTCGCGGGCATTGTTGAGCGTACTTTCGGTTTTGAACTGGCATTTCTCTAAAATTGCTCAGTTGCGTGACTTATGCAATTAGATAGAACAAAACAACTTGAAATGTTGCAGATAGAAACACCAAGGGAGGACGCTTTACCGGGTTGATAAGGCAGCGTCGGAGTAACCTTTTTTGACGCCCCTTTGGCCTTTCGGTAGAGGGGCCTTTTGGTCTCGATAACACGCTAACAGACCTAACGGTAAGACATCCCGAGCACTAAACTAGGAGATAGTGATTTTAATCAGTGAGCGCACTTGTCCTCCACTCATCCCCGGTCGTTTAGCTAAACGCGTTTTCTTTTTTTTCAGGTTAATCCAACCTGAAATTAATACAAGAGGAATGATTTTGCATACACTATTCCGTTTGATTTGAAAAACTCTCTGATCCGAAATACTAAGTAATGCAAACATGCAAAAATGAGCCAAAACATTGGTGATGTAAAAGTCACGCGGTTCCACCTTGCGTGAGTTCTGGACAAAGCTGCGCCGTCACAGCCGCACCGCAGAAAACACACACCAATTTTCAACTTTTATGCACAACAATGTTTCAGCTGCATTTTATTTGCAGTGTTGCTGATCTCAAGCACCAAAAATACCTCTCGATGTAAAGATGGATTATGAACTCATACTTCACCGCCTGTGACATAATCTGGATCCTGAAGGTGTCCAAAGGTAGTGAGAAGCATAGGTCATTAGGACCTCATCAATCAAGCATCCTACTAACTTCTCCTAGAGCCGAATAAAGGCGTAAAAGTGGTCACGAGTGGCTGTTAAACGAAGGAGGAGACGAATTAGGGAGTAACTCTCCGTCCAAGATGGCCAGCGGGTCGGTGGCGCCAGCATTGGCGACGTATAATAAAATCACCATAATGTGTATTTGCGTAAATGATTAGTGTTAGGCAGATCATAAAGGCGTGAAATAACACCAACGCTGTGACTTCCGGCCGCGAATGAAAGTGGTCGGAGATGTGAGTAGGCGATAAAGCGAGTTACACTGGGGTGTCAAAAGTGAGGATTAAAACTGAGCATTACCCAATCCATTGTCAACGCAAGGGACTGAGGGAGTGACGGTTGCGGAAGGAGCGACCTCTAGAGGCCAGGGTGACGAGTTGGCAGGAAGGAAGGGATTGTTTGGGTTTGGGACAGCAGTGTTGGAGACTGAAGTGGACTCTGAGAGAAACTGAGACAGCGGCCGCGGCTGCGACACCCCGCCGCTGCCACCACCCACGGGAACACTGGACAGCGCCAAGTGACTGCTGGAAGAAGGCATCGCTGTGGCAGAAAACAACATCAGGCTTGACATTTAATGTTTCCAATCATCATTAGTGGATGCTTGGGAAGCCAATGAACTCGACTCGCCACTGACACCACCCCTCGTGGCCAGCCGGTCACCGGTGTGGTGCTTTGGGGACTAATTTGTGCCCACCGGTCATTCACTTGGACAATAACCGTGTCTAAGTTCGGCAAATTAACGTAAAATGACGCAAATACCAATTAAATAGATCCTGCAGAACAATTTCTTACAGTACTCCGTTTCGTTAACACCGACGGTAGTATATTGACGACATTGAAAGGCAGCATCGGCCTTTAACAGTCGCTGACTAAGGCACGGATGATCCAGACTAACACGTCGTCAGATGGTTGATTTGCAGCGCCATCTGACGTTCAATAGGTAAATTGGTTAACCAAATGCAATATCTAACCAAAAATTTTTATATCAATAAAATTACTGAAACAGTGCTGCAGGTTATCGATTTACGTATACTTTGGTTCTGTTATCAGGGTCCTTAATGGTCACAAATCCTGACCTGCTCACGTTCAACTTTAATTAGCCAATGCATTTTATACTGATTACTCAAAAACAACATTTTTTGGCACCACGTGCAGAAGCCAAATCAGGGCTGATTTTCATCGCCGCTTCGCACCAAAGTCACGCTGCACGTGGGACATTGCACGCTTTTTCAACAGCGGGAACACGAAGCTAGATTTTACAGATGGGAAGAGCCTTACCACAGCAGAGACTAAGCGTGGGCGCAAACCGGAGTTATTTCCAAGACTAGAATTAGTGTTTCAAGTTATCCAAGCAAGTGTAGACGTAAGTGCTGGGATGAAATAGCCTTACTACTGAAATGTTTTTGCGTAGACAAACCTGGTTCGAAGAAAAAGTCATCGAAGAGGGTGTTATTGGTGGCATCGGTCTTCTTGCCAGTGTCAGCAGGGCACCCAGTGAACAGCTCGAGGAGGTCACCATCGCTGCTGGAGCGCTCCACAGACCCTCCGACAGCTCGTTCAGTCGTCGAACCAGGGCACTTGGACCGGGCCTGACTGACGAAGGCCTCCAGGCGTTGACGCTCCTCCTCAATTATGCGCTGCTGCTCCACGGAGAGATTCTGCTGGCTGGCTTCCTGGAGAAGCAGCAAATCACCCGTCACTGCCGACGGCTGGCTCGATGAGGACGGCGTGGGCGAGGTCTTCTTCCTGCAGAAGTAAATAGCTCACTTGAGGGAATGAAAGTAAGGCCTGGAAGGCGTCCAAATCATGCCACTGCTATTTAACTAGAAGAACCCAATAGTAAGTAGTTTGCGTATTAATCAGTTTCTAGAAGGCAAAACATACGGATCAGCCAATTTTTTGCCCTCGAGGTGTGCCAGATGCTGCTCCAGTGCGTCAAGAACCGACGCCGGTACCTAAACGGCAACAAAATACACCCACGGTGAGAAATTCCCATTGTGTAAGAACATTAATAATCATTAAGGCCTCATTAACGTACCGGCTTGAATATGAGTGACTGTTTACCGAAACCGTCATCCATTTGAAGAGAATCACAAGCCTAAATGGGATAATTTAAAAAAAAATCAGGAAAATTCCACACTGCCGTGGTGACACAATAACCTGTCCGCGTTGATTGACGTAAGGCTGTCTAAAGGGCACTAGACGTTACAGACGGGCAGCAAGTATTTTGAGCAAAGTTTTCAAGCGTGATAACAGCAAAAACCAAGAGATTGACCTAAGCCGATTTGGTCCGATGACAAAACGAACTCCATCGATAAGTCAAAAGATCAGCGATGGGAGTGGTGGCATTTGTTCACGAACGGCAACAAAACCCAGGAATTCACACAAACACCACAAGAAGTCTGCAGTTAGGAATGCCATTTGAATAGCTAATCCATTTCGATAGGACTGAAAGCCTTGCTAAAAACAAGCCACTAAAGCAAGACCCACTTCTGCAACTTTGACAAATTGGTTGACTTGTTCCATGCGCTTGAGGAAAGCCTTGTAGATTCGCAACGCCTCCTGGCAATCCTTTTTAGACATTGAGAAGAACTTCTCTATGGATTAAAAAAAGAGGCAGAAGGCATTATGTGAGAGAGGATTAGGGTCGATCGGCATTAACTCAGGACACCAATGATGTCAAACGCACCGATGATGTTAATCATGCCCTCGTTGTACACCGCGTAGAGGCGAATGAGATCCTTGTAGAGGAGGAAGTAGGCAGCCAAAACCACACCGTTGAGCAGTTCGCTTGAGGATGCCTAAATGGAAACCACGAGTGAGGAGCCTTAACAATTTTGACGACAGGCGCCTTGAATCGTGTCGAAACTGACCTCCAAAGTGGAGGGTAGCAGATAACTTGAACCTAATTTGTGTGCAATTGACATTAACACCGACGAGTCCAGCACAAATTTAAAAGTTTGTAGGGGCATTTTAGGCAAGGAGGCAAATGCTGTAGAACTTTTTTAACTTATTATCGACAAAGCGGGCTATGAGGACAGACCAAAATTACGGACTCACATCAAAGGCGATGAGCGCGTCAATCTGTCGCTCGAGGGGAGGCAACACCTTGAAAAGCTGAAAAGTAACAATAAAAAAATAGTGAATTTCGGCAGCAACTAGATCACTGTTCTACCCCGCGGCCGAAACTTGGATACCCACCTGAGTACCTAAAAAGCGGCTTGGCGCAAACTAACTTAAAACTCCCGTTTGCCCCAAAGATGAAAAAATACCCGTTTTACAAACCTTTTTTCTCTCGCTTTATAGAATACCGTCTCACTACAGAAGCAAGTGAAGCACCCGTGACGGAGTTTCCGATCTGATTTTAGCGCCGTGGTTTGTACATTTGCAGCAGACATAGTCTCGACCATAACTACACTCTACGAAATAGCCGTCCAATTATATCAGACGGAAACAATGGCATTGGAATAGCTGACACCGCGAGTTTGAACGCACGTGGGAACGGGATTCTTTTGAGATTTCACGCTAAGCTGCTAGGGCTGGTTTGAGACCGCCGCTCAACAAGGACAGCCAAGCATGCACGTCCACCTTTGGCCATCAACATACGATGTGAAGAAGCCGATGACCCGGGTTAGTAGTATTTATTCCAGCAGAAAAGGTAACGATGAGCTGGAGCTGTGGCGATTGACAAAAAATATGACAGCATTTACACGAATTGAGGGGACTACCGGAAGCAACTAGTAGGGTTCCCTGATATGGCCATGAGGTTTCCATCGCAGAAACACACGCACGCCGCGTCATAACTCGGGTTATGCAAGTGACACGGAAGTTCCCCAATGACAGCTTTAAACATCTACCATGCATTAAAAAAAAATAGAACACCCACCTTTGCCTGTGGCATCGTCTTCATGTTCACTTCATCGGCCCTAGAGAATATGCAATAAGATGCAATAACCATCGCAAGAAACAGTGAGGCGCTCACTAACCAGTAACACGAACCACACCCCCTTGGATCGCTTTTCAGTACACTTAGATCACTTACAAATTGAAACACGCACAGTCACCTTTAAGCAAGCGGACATGATTGCCATGAGCAACAACAACAAGTAGCTGAATAAAAGGCTCCCAAGACTCACTACTATAATGCAACTCGAAGCGTGTCTATTAAGTGCATTTGTAAAGGCAAACGAATGATGTCAACAGTTTAAAGTGGCGCACGTTAAATGTAAAACACAGTTAAACACGAAAAACGCTAACTTCAAATAAACGCAAGCGTTGTCTAAAAAAGGAACAAGTTAAACTGAAAGTTGTTTCAACGACTTATCGTAAGATTGATGGTAGAGTTACAAAAACAGTTTACCTGTAACTGCATATGCTGGTAAACACAGTCGAGTGCAAATGATGGTGTGACACGGTGAATGCGAGAGAACCCGAGACAATTGCCTAAGACTGGCGAAACATGCACTCACACACCCAGACCCTTTTCGCTGAATTCTGAGACAAACATGTGTGCCGTGGCTAGGGGCTAGTGGGGACTAATTTGTGAGACTGTGGATACCTAGCCGAATTGACACAAGAACGAGTGAGGCCTTATTGGGATACCCTTGGCACCACATAACTCGACATGAAGCCCTTATGTACAAGGTGGGCCAGGTCACCTGCGTTAGCAGTTCAGGCGCAACTCAGTGACGTCCATGAAGAATGTAACTTTAGGAACCAAAGAATCGATCAGTTGAAAGCAGACAAATAGAAGTACGAAACTGTTGTAAATCGTTTTTATTCAACATCTTAATCCGATCGCTTCGCCTCCGATACAAGGCTCCCCTTCTCGCAGCACGGCGACAGCCGCGCAAATCCCCAACTCCCCCCTTCATTCACACGTATGTGTATCTTGGATTAACCTCACACCTAGATCTCGATGTTAGCACATGTATGACTCACGCATCCGAGGTATAAATACACACGCGCAAACCCGACACAACTACACCAATTCTGGTTGAGCTCTGAAGTAAACGGTTTTGTTCCGTCCTTTCCGGTCTTCTTTTTCCTCGCGGGCATCAGGCAAGCGTAATCGGGCCAGGGTCAATTCAGTGGCCCCGGCGTGGTTCAGGGCCCACAACAAAACTATAAGTTCTTCCTTTAACTCAACAACCAATCGCAAAACAGGCCAAATGATTCTTCTTAACTCCCTATCATGAAGCCTGAGGCATAGCCGCCTCCTAAGAGGATCAATCGCAGGAAGGCGGTGAAGTATGCTTCACCAGAAAAAAATGCAAACGCGGTAAGTGAACGGACAAACAAAAAGAGAACTAGGCGATAACACTTGCACTAGACGCAATGCGTTCTGGTCCGCCTCCTCGGCTACGACAACGTGACTGAAGAACAAACAAGGGTACAGGTTACGCCGACGATGTCTCGCAGAAACAGGGCACTGTCCCCAGAAAACAGCTTAAAAGCACTGAAACCGATTCCTCGATAACGTTTAGCTCACTAGTCTGGTCAATGCATCGTTTTGCGAAACATCGAATGAAAATTATCAGCCTTTGATGCTAATTTTATAACACTTCAAGTGTCTACGAAGTTACTTTCCAAGTAAAAACCCACAAAGTAGCAATAAAGACAATCAAAGGAAATAAAAAACAACTGTCTAGAAAATTGCCACCAAATTAATGAGGAATTTCGAAACATCCTGCAAAAACTGTCCTTGATAATACTTTTTTTAGGAAAATATACAAACGTGTTTAATCGCTTTGAAAGTTCCGATAAAAATGAATTATGGGAGTTGTGTAGCAAGTACATATGCGTTTAGGCAAACATGGAGCAACAGTGTTAATAGTTAGGGCAACAGACTGCATAAACACAACCCGAGGGACTTTGTGAGAGTGACGAAGAGCCCAAATAGGCGCGCAAGACTTGAGGGTAGCCTGACACTGGACCGCCTGCTGGGGATAGATTTTACTGAGCCACAAAGTACACCAACCCTTCACCGATCAGTTACAAATTCATCAGCAACACAAACTCTCGCAGGATGCGTGTCTTGAAAGGTCCAAAGTAGAGAGAATATAAGCACATGATAAATTGCTTTCGCACATTACTGCCAAAGCTAAAATTAACCCAACGACTTTCTGTAGAAAGGCCTTAACCAACAAAAGTACTATTGAGGCCCCCAATCCCTACACTATCAGAGTTTTTTGATTACCTAACAAAGCCTAAGCGCCTCGTGTGGCAATACCATTTATGATTACAAATCACACACGCGGTCGCCTCACTCAGTCGGCAAGTCCAAACGCTAAGGTGAGATCATATGACGGTCGCAGTGGTGAGCATCATGCGACAAAAGCCCCATTACGGGTTAATCACAGGCACAAAGTTGACCCACTTGTTTTATTTGGGTCCAACGACTAAAGCCAACCTTAACACCCCACCCAATTCACTGAGAGCGGCATTGGTAAATACTAATCGAGATGGCTCGGTGCGACACAGGACCTGCATATTCGATGTCATGTGTGTTTTGACAGAGCACAATGCAAAACCCGATCAACGCACCCAGGCAGTACAAGCTCACGTGGACCACCTCAAAGTAGCTTGAGAAAAAAGTCCGCAGTTAAATGGAAACCCGATACGGTGATACGCGTTAATCCTTCGCACTAACTGCACAAAATCAGTAATCCCTAAATTGACTCGAATGTCAAAAAGTATAAAACAGCAGAGGTTGAAAACTAGCAGCCTAAAATATCGAGTGATTCAATAGAATGAGCTATATTCAAACAAACATACCTCAAAATGAGAGCATCAGGCAGTGTGGCATACCCATCTGATGCAACGCTTAATAAACGAATTTTCTGCCATTTCTCTTTACGAAGGAAATGAAATACCGACACCGAGTGTTGAGATTAACTACGTACCTACATTATTGTGTAGCTACTTTAGGTGTCTGCGTGAAAAAACTGTGTGATCATGTTAAATGATTGCCTACTGCGTCGACTGAGTTTACACCAGATACAGCTTTCTACAAATGCGGCCATATCATAGGTGGACAAGTAATCTGGGGTTCAAGACCGTTCGAAATAATTTAGAATGAGACAAGAGATGGTGGAGTCGAGAGCACTTTGGGAAATTTTGGACTGGTACCTTTCAGATGACCTCGACAAAACAACTCATGCCTGTTCATCGTATGGATGATACTAAACGCACGCAATAATTAAGCTCAGATTGTACAGTTGGTCTGGTCCGGTAAGTACACACTTGATGATCACTTGAGTAGGCACACACATGACGGTGAATCAGTGTGCAAGTGTACACAGGACTAGTTCAAGCACTAACCGAGCGTACCACTGACAGTGGGCATTGAAAAAACTGTTGATTTGTGTGCACACACACACACATCAATGCGGAAGTAAACTGCTCAGGCGATTTGTCTCGAATAAACAATCGCACATGCCGTGGGCAGTAAGGCGCTAAAAGTGACGACGTGAGCTCACACGCAAAATCACCATTTTAAAACAAGATAGAGCGGTAATACCGATCTACCACCCTACCAGATTGCAGCTAGGTAACGTAATTCCCAGAAACGCAGGCGACAATTTAAATAAGGCACTAAGCGATGTGTAAATATGATGGTGATACTTACTTTCTTTTGATCTTGCAGAAATCAAAGGCGACTTCGCGGTAGCTGGATGAGCGTGAATCGAGATAACGAGCGTATTGCCGAATGAAAACGAGCATAGTAACAGCTAAACAGTAAGGGATTAACATTACATGGGGATCTGTTAATTATATAGAATTCAGGCCGATTGGTGTTACCATAACGAAGTTGTATCTTTCAAAAGCGGCACATCGACAATGCAATTATTTACAAGTCAAAATAGTTGTCTGAGAATTGAAGTAGTAAGAAATTGCAGCGGAGTAAAAAGGAGATGAATTCAACTGAAATAATGAGATGCAGATGATACACCACAGACGAGCACCATGTGTAATGATATTTGCCATGAGGTTTGCACGCATTCAGATGTGATAAAATGGGCCCAAACTCAAAAACGAAAAGTAGGATAAAACGTACCTTGAGAGTTGCTTCTCTCAAAGGGCCGAGGAGCAGCAAGGTGACAATTGTTCGACGCCAGATATTGGGAAAAACGCTAGATGTTAATAGATAAATAGTTAATAAAGTCAAAAACGACCGAGCGACAAAGTCACCAGGTGGAGTAAAAAACTGTAGTCAAGATATCACTCCCGCAATATTTGGTCGTCAACACTAAATGACACCCAAGAGCCACGTGAGTACATTTTATGCGAAGGCACCGGTAGACAACGCCCTTTCCCTCAGACGAAAGGTACTTGTATAGTGATCTTACTAATATGAGTGGTAGGTTTGTTGTGACGCGATACGTCTGCTGTGATCAACGATAAGCAGATCCCTGATGAGCTTAAGGAACGCTGCAACGTTAAAAGAACCCACGCGAAGAAATCGAGAACACGGATTTCCCAAAAATCTGGCGCAAATTAAATAGCACTTGACTATTTAAAGTTTTTCTTATCAGTAAAATAACCAAAAGATCCACAATTGACTAGTTGCTTCTTGAAGGTACAAGACTAGACAGGGGGCCTGTCTAGCTCAATGTTGGTTGTGTATGGTAATTAGTCGTAGTCAAGTTATTTTGGATGCTTGAGGCAGCTAGGAAAATCAAAAGTACGGTGAGGAATCGGGGATGGGGATGACTAACTGAGGAAAACTAATTTTTGTTTTTGAGGTCGGGGTAGCAACAAATTTTGAATAAAATTAACTCGTGAATATCGGTTCATTAGAGCCTAACAGTAAGAGCCCATGAACGACTTGTAGGACTTTAACCAAAGATTCGCCTACATACCTACCTATTTGTGGGCCGTGAAGTACATTTGGAAATCATTTAAAAACTATATAAACGAGAGCAACGGCATAAATTGAAACTTAAGTGGCTAAGCAAAACTATACGTAATAAAAACAAGCTGCTAAGAACAATAAATTTACAACTGGTAGCAGAAAAAAACGCACTTCGCTCCCGCAGTTCATTAAGTGATGAATCGTAATCAGGGCTTTGAAGGACACAACCCAGCTGCTGTTATGGGAACGACTGATTATGTAGTTTGCGAATTCTGGCATTGAAAGACGCGGCTCATATGTACAATTGACCAAAACTACAAAGTGGGTTAAAAACAGTGAAAAATTACTATTGAGGTGTTTCCGTTTGGGAGCATTCATTTCCTCCGTTGTAGCCTTGCAGATTGTCTTTGCAATAAGCGATCCGGAAATACTGTGCTTCATTGATGTCATCCTATCCACAAGACTTTGACCGGTGCCATTTCCAGCAAGACGCCGAACAGCCCTCCCAGCCATAACACCAAGAACCAAAATGTCACAAGCAGATTAATTTGAGCGGGCTAGCAAACATTTATTATAACTATCGCTCATTCTTGTAAGAATGAAATCATAAATTAATAGTTAGAATATTTTAAACCTAATTTTATGCTTATATTATATCTCTTATTTTCTTTGGTGTCTTAGTATAATGACGTTTTTAGTTTACAAAGGTTTAAAAAACTTTCACATTTGATGTTATTTTACCTTTAAATGATCTTAAAGTCCTTCATTACAAATTGTCAAGATGCCTAAGTTCTCCTAACTTACGGAACAACAACTCGATAAAGAAAGACTGATGTCTATGTTGGCTGAGCAACCTAAAATCATTTATTATTTCAACACCTCCACTTGCCTGGAGTAATTCAATCATTCAGTGTCGGTGTCGTTTGGCAATGTAAACATTGAAATTTTTGTAAAATGTGCATTATTACTTCGACCTTTAAGTTAAATAAGTAGGCATTTCGGTAGGATAAATTGTCTTTTACATTGCTACCTAGATATACCTTTTACTGATTCTCAAATTTGCAGATGCATCCCCATCAGGCTAAATGAGCGTATGCATTAAGTCAATGATGCCACCTGAGTTGTAAAAGTAAGTTTTGTATAATTAATGTGAACAATCAATGTGTGATAACAATTCCATTGATCCCTTATTTGCTATGGAATTTAACACCATATTGGCATTCGTGCAATTCCTTAAGCATCTTGTTACATTCTACAACATTAAAATTGCCTTTTAACTTATATCACGGCGTTTGATGCCAACCAACGTCTTAATATATTTACAAACGAAATTACAAGAATATTATTTGATGTATTTGTGACGTTGTCCGTTGGTGGTTGCGATTAAAAACGCAACCTTATTAAGAAATAATGAATGAGATGTTTAATAAGATTGCGTATTGACTACTGTAGGTTAAAACTAGCGATAATAAAAAGGTGCCTTTAATATTCATTTATGGGGTGATATTTAATGTGATTTTGCTGGGTGTGGCTTGAAACGTTTCAATAAATTAATATCTTTCCTTCCTTCTTCATAGTGAATTCCAGAATGTTTGATTGTTACGTCAATAAAATACCAGTCAAAAATCATAATATCATCTGGCTATTATTTATTCCACCTTTTATCATTGATTTTTATTATACTGTGTTAAACCGATTTTGATCCTTGAAGAGCTGGGTCATACTAAGATACTGGATGAAAAACGGTCATAATTTTGCCCGGCTTCTCTAAGTGTACAGTTTACAAAATACATGCGCATAATTTTAAAAGTTACTAGTTACAACCTCAACTAGTTCCAAATCTAGAAAATGACTGTTATTGTCGTGTAAAGTTAATTGCCATATTTGAGACGATATATTTATGCCACAAACAAGAGAATGAATTTACCAAGTGCCAATTTAAAAAAACTTATTCATTTCAGGTAGTGAAACTGAGGCTTAAATAGCATTTTTAAAATCGAAAAACCGTTATTAGCTCTTGAGGTAGTCGGAGATTGCACAAGTAGCTCTGGTGGTTGGATAATTCATTATAATGCATCTACTTCAATACCTTTAATGCGAAGATATATGGTTGGCTAGAATACCTCTCCCGGACTTCATGACTTAATCCTGATCTTGAAATTACTAAGGATACACTTCGAACACTAAAAGCACGGAGCTACAAATCAGGCATGGCGTAAAGCACAACAGTTGCTCTACCACGTCTTATAGACTGCTTTTGTTCTGCACCTACCATTATCGGTCTGTGTGAATTTCACGTATCCTGGGATCGAAGAAATCAGTACACGACATAAGAAATCAAGGCACATACTGCTCTTAAAAATTTCATTCTTGTACTCGAGACAGACTTTATCGGCCACCGTTTGTTAAAGTACGGTAAAAACAAGCTGTCCGAACTTCTTACTTCGGACTTTTAACCAAAAACTGTGGAACTTGTAGTTACCCAAACTCTCCTTAATAAAAGAACCATATTCACTTCAAGCGTAAAGATGCGGACAAGTTTATTACTTTGCGTTTTTCGCAGATTTCTCGATTTAAGCTTTGCAGCGTTTTTGTATAAAGGTCAATTTTAGAAGCCTACTAAAATTAGCCGCCATTGACTTGTTGGGGAAGAAACAACGGAGAAAAGCTTGCAAATTAACCTTTTCTTATTATGACGACAGGGTAAAACTTTCACCTCTGCTCTGTAAATTGAGAGAGACATAAGTATTAAGATAAATTAGACCTGTAATCTGAAGTTGTCGTGTTAAGGTGGTGGAACTGGGGAAACCTGAATGTTACTTTCCGTACATCGGCGAGGAGATCGCAAAGCTGTTGAGGGCGGAAAAAAATGGGGCGAGATTAGGCATGCCGGGGTCCGCGATAGGAACCCTTGCGAATGCTCCCGCCTACAGGTCGCTTCTGTTTGTAAAGCATTGCCCTATTCAGTTGTGGTCCTGTAATCAAGACAAAGGTGAATGAAAATAAGGCAAGACCTTTCCCATGTTAGCTGTTTGATGTTGGAAACAAATTTGCACAAGCCTTTACAATGAAATGTCCGTTTGTGGTGATCTTGGACGCTCCACTGCGACTTTCAAGGTGCCTCCATACACGAGACAGAAGGTTTTGCTTGTTTCAGGCTTGCTAAAATTGCACCGCGATGGAAAACAATGGACCACAGTATTGCGTGTGGTACAGCCTTAACAATGCTATTTTAGCGCGGAATTCAACACCAGATCCAGTCGTTGAAAGCCACGTTGATGCTCACACAACAAAACAATACATTTGTGACCGATTTCCGCTTCTAACGTTTTCCAACAAATTTTTCGACGAAAGTCCTGCGGCCACTGTTAAAAGTGTAGACAGCACATTGATCAGAGCTCTGATGCAGTCTGTTTTTTTTATTACTCACCGAAGTAACTCAGCTGAACAGGGAGGAAGATGATTCCAACGGCCGCGCCAAGGAGCACCATGCAAAGGTACATCCTGAAGTAGAACACCTGGAAAAGTCTTGATTTTGCAAAGCCAAGTACAACAATTCCACCGAATTTGGTCAGTGTAATGCCACGAAGAACCTAGGAATTGATTAAAAGCAAATGTATTAAGCCGTGTGGGATGTGGGCGAAAAAATGAAAAATGTGCAAAGCCCAAGCAAGCAACATGACTATGAGTTACCAAGTTTTAATGTTATCTAATGCTGAACATTCCACACGGGATCAAAAGTGTACGGAGTCCATTTGGTCAAAGGCAATGGGCAGACTAAATAACGGAGAGTAGGAACGCTCCCATCAATGACCATCAAGTAAAAAAATATGTACGAATGCCAGCATTGTCTATGGTTTGTCTGACACTGCGTGGCATTCAAATTTAGTTGAGTGCTTCTTTTTTCCCTTTTAGTTGCACATATGACAAGGAGCCATTTGTGATTATTCCAGAAAGTTTGTGGACATGAAAAGGGCAAAGTGGTGAGAGAGCTCGCCTACCGAACTGCCCATTTCCGAAAGCGCGTCCAAAGCACGTTCCACGCGGGTCGCTTTTGTGCTGATTGTGAAGGCCCGGACAACGTGAGCGCAAAATTCCACTGATATCCCAATGCACTATAAAAATGCAAATTAAAAAAAACACCTTATTATAGGTTGTCGGGGTTCTCTGCTATCCCACAAGCTGCTTGTAATAGCACACTGCCTTATTTCTCTGCGTGAAGATACATGAGTGAGTCTACATTGTTAGTTTTTCTATGTAAAACTTAGCAAGCGATGCGAGATACACCCAAAATTCTTGCCTCTAAATTGTTTAATTTTAAGCTGTTCAAGACGCATAGCAAAAAAAAGTCTTTTATTCTCCCCCCGAAAGTATTTACAAATGAGGGGTTTTCGATTTGTATCCGATTGCTGAGGCCTGTCGCCTGTGCCTTGTTTCCTTCATAGTTTGCTTTCGATTTTCACCAATTTTTACATAAAACAACTCCACTGTAGGCCCAGAATTGAACTTCACATGACACTTTTGAACATTTTGAACTTTTGGCTCGATCTTGTGATGTGTTGTTCAGGAATGACTAACGAGTAACGTTTACAAGCGAACACATTCTGCGCGATAACGCAGCTCCCCATTAAAGACTAAAACATTTTGCATTGACCTGGACTTGAATTCTAGGGGTCGAACTTTCTTGGATAATAAAACTGGTACATCGCATTTATTGTCAAGATGTGCTACACTTATTGACACACAAACAGCAAACTTTCCAGAGTTTTTTTCCTCTGGGGTGCGGGACACGCGAGCTATTTCCCAATCCTGGTTCTTATTTCGTTCAAGACGGGTGCTCTGTCTACAAACCTAATCCCAAAGACCATGACGAATCACAACAAATAAAGGTATCTGATGCAATTGAGTTCTAAATAACGCTTTCGCAGATGCCGATGTACGGAAAATACCAGTAGTTTTGTGCAAACAATTGAAAGCAGCAATTTGAGTGGTGGATTTATCCCCAGAGTGACTGCACAGTTTGTCAGTTTCACAGGCAAGAATACCTGCCACAGGAAAGATACGCCAGTTGGTTTAGAAAAGTAGCATGCTTACAATGGCTTTTCTTAAAGCAAACGACGATTACAGTGTCCTGGGTGTAGACAACTCACCACAACAAGGTTAACCAGTGAGATGGCATTAAGGGAGATGTCCCAGAGCGCCATCATGGCGGCGACGGAGAGGACAATTGAGGCGACGCCGGCCACGACGTTCAGAGTTGCCACAACGTCGAGTCCCAGCATCACCCAGGTGATGATCGACACAGCCGACAAGCCCATTGATATCTGAACGACTGTCTCATAAATGATGTTCAGGTATTGCTCGTAGAACACGTAGAACACACTGCGGGAAAGACATCAAGACATTATTGGTGTCTGTTTGTTTGCTTTTTAACTTCCGCACAAAAACATTGCCTACCTGTTACGAACTATCCGGGTGAACTATCATTATTACAGATGCCACAACACTTATGAAGTAAATCCATGGTATTAGAGGGAGACATAGCACTGAATAGAATTCGGGTTCAGTTCTATTAAAGGACGCAACGGGTTCGTTGCCCAAACAAAAGCTCATCATATTATGATATTGATAAATGCCTAATTTTACAAACGGGTTATTGACTGGATTTCTGAATCTTCATCGAAAATTTCATGTTATTTTCCTCATGCATTCTTTGTTACATTAGACCCCCAGTCAGAACAATGGCTGTTTTTTGAACGTATTTTTGCAGCCATGTTTGATACAGGCTTTTGATTGACATTACTTCACGTCTCTGGACTAAAACAAGATTAATATTTTTTTGGAAATGCGGAAAAACCTAGCATTTGCGTAAAACTTAGCGTCTTTAGATTCATATTCTCCATATCGACCAAGATAGCTAGAAGTGAAGCACCATCAAACACAGTCAAATAACGACTCATCACCAAAAAAAGTCGACGGGCTAGGTAAATGTCCCACCTGTATGGAAAAACTGAATTTTGTTGTGGTCCAGGAGTCTTGGGAGTCGGCAGAGTGGCCTTGTGCTCGACGGCCCATCGTGGCCCAAAGGTATCAGCGATTTCTCGAGCTTTCTTGATGGCATCGATGAAGTCCTCGGTGCTGCGAAGAACCGTGTGGTGGGCCGCAAAGTGGGAAGTTACCACGAACGCGTCGCCCCCTCCGCTTCCCGATGAAAGAACGACTGCCGAACTGTACTGAGCCTTCCCGCTATTGTGTGTGTGTGTGATTTGAGGGAAGGAATGAAAGATGCTCACATCTAAGATCTTGATTGACTTCCTGGTTGGTATTACTGCCACTGATAATGCCCCTGGATTGCTCTAAATTACTTAGAAACGCACCGATAGTTTTAAAGCTTTACCGCTGTTTTACTTCTAACTATGAAAGAATAATAGGAACCACATGATTAACCAATCACATAGCCGCCTCTTCAAAATATTAATGTTAGCAAATTTTTCGATAAGTGGCTTATTGGGGTGAGTGTTTACTTGGTGTTTCAACTGTACTTAAGGAGACAAGCATTCTAGACTTAAGGTTATTCGGGCTTTCGATGGAGTGGTGTGGATTTGCTAATGAAGCGACACACCTACCCGTAGGGGCACTTCTCGTCGGGCACACGTGCCAGGAAGTTGGGCAGCAGTTGGTTGAAGGGTTCGCCCGAGAGACGGTCATTAATGAGGGGGCACTTTTTGCAATCCTCCTCGACCGTGGCGTCGCAGAAGGTGAGGTTCTGCTGGGAATTCCGCACCCCACAACACGACGGGTTCTTGCTCCAGAGGGTGAAGTCGTCTATCCACGACATCAAGGGAAGCGAGAGACGGTGACTTGAAAACAAATCGCAAAACTGGACTTATATAGCTTTACGACAGGCACAAAGGCAGATACCATGATCGTACAGGGTCTTACGTAATTCAGACCGCTCATAGCGTCGAACTGTGAAAAATCAAACCTTAGAAGAATTTGGCAATTTACTCTGATGCCGAAAATATTTGGAGTGAGAAATGTAGAATGAAAAACAAGTGTATTATTATTATTATTGTGAAATTACCACGTTTATGTTAAGGCTGCATGTACACTGTGACCTGCCATTTTTGGCCTCAGCTCTTAAGTTTAATAAATTTTACACAAACTCTTAACAGCTGATCGAGCTAAGTTAGCTATGCTATGTAGCTCTTGGACACAGACTTATGTCAGAAGAGGTGTATTCACTTTGCAAATTGCAGAGGGTCTTACACGAAAGGTAAGATTCATCAAGTGTGCTTATAAGGTCTGCAAGGCAGATCTTTTCAGGAGAAGAAAAAGGCGAACGCCACCGAACACTGCTGTTGTTGTTAAATCTACCTGCCTAAACCAAGCCAAATTCGTAAGAATCATAACTGATTTTTAACTGACGGTATATTAATTAATTTAGATTAAAAGAAATTAGAAGAAAATCAAGTTTCGGACTACGTAACCTTTTGAAGAAAAATGGCGCAGAATCAGGCGGTAGGTCGGACAGCTCCCTCAGGCTAAGAAACAGTAAAGTTGATTTGAAAGTGTAAAACACCATTTTAAGGACGAATTATTTCAATGGCGTATTCGTGGCTCAAAATATCAATTTTGCTCAACACCCCACAGTTATACTAACAATCCAGGCTAAAACGGACTTTATTATTTATTCATTGGTTGTACAACACGGGGATTTACTTTAAATATGCTGAGTCTTCGAGACCCCCAAGTAAGGCACGTAACTGAATTTTACCACTAAAAACCAAAACTGGACAAATTTTCGTTCGCTTAGAGAAACCTCTCTAGTCGCGCTTCCTGCGTGACCTTCGGCAAGGTAATTCGGTGATTTGAAGAATCGGTTCACCTTCAGAATCGTTCAGCACAAGACAACTGATTGCTAGACTTGCGTCACTGTTTACATATACGCGCTGCCCTACAGCCCAAAAATACATTTCATTCTTTATGGAAGAGTATAACCAGTGGATGCCTGCTACTTATGAAATTTATTTTAAATTATGATGATGACATTTTTGTCCCTGTTCCTGTTGGTTCCTTCGATTTTTCATTTAACAGCAAAATTTTGGCTTATTATATGGATTCTAAGAATAATCCACCTTGAGTCCACTAATACCAGCGTTTTCAAATGCACAATTCTCGCACGTGACCCATTGTTTAAACGCTTATCCTCTCAGTGTATTGTCCATTGATTTCTTTGTTTTGCTTACAACAAATCGGCATTCATCTCATGTGTTCTAAAGCAAACACGGATACAAGTAATTAAGTGCAACAATGTTTAACTAAGAGTATTACTCTTTGCTGGCAATGGTCCGTTTCAGGGTTTTTACAAGAGAGGTGTCGTAGCATCCAGCCCTGCCGCAGACTTGGTTCTGTCCATGGATTGACTCAAAGTTGTGGCCTTCGGTGACCACGAAGTAGACAGGAGGTCCGACAGCGAGGTAGCTGGAGATGGCCTCAAAGTACTCCAGTACGTATGAATCGAGGGACATTGAGAGTTTCTGGTCCAGGCCTATTCGAATGCCACCGGGAATGATGGCGATGCAGAAGCAGATCCAACCGAGGAAGACAATGAAGAGGAAAGCACGAACCCATTTGGAGAGGATGAACGGCGCGAGAACGTGGGCAACAAAACGGTAGAGCCATGGGCGATCCCTTTTTCCTATTTGAGAACAGACAGGCCATTTGGGTGGCATCAGAAAACAATTTAAAAGGTTTGAGCGGGTTGTGCGTTCGCGTTGAGTAGTCAACGCCAAGTGCTCCGTTGTTTTGCCCTTATTCATGGCTTAAGACATTCACGGGATGAGAAAAATTTGCAGTATCGAAAAATTTTATTACACTTAAGAATATGTTCAAGTTCAAAGCCTCAAGACTAAACGGGGTTAGGCTGTCTGTCCGCTGAAATGTTCGAAGAATCATCACATTCACTTGCTACAACTGGGTCAGCGTGACAATGATGATGCCACTTTGACTTGAAGTTGGCACGAGTTGCGCCCAGCCATCGTCTCCATAGGCGTCACATTTTAAAAAAACGGCAGAAGGTTAATATGCTGAATCATGAGAACTCCTTTTGGACGCCATTGTGCATTTTTTCACCAATAATCGGCATTCAAAAAAAGCATTTTAGCGCTGATATCATCAATGCATTTTCCAATCAAATTACTCCGACTTTTCGTTTTTTTTTACATTGCGACATAGAGTAGTCTGTGCCTGCCAGTTTAAACAGCAAAAACCATTTATGGAGAAAGGCAGACAACTCACGTTTCCCTTTCCTGCGTTTATTAAGACTGGTGGAATCGGGTACGGCATCATCCTCGTCGGTGAGTGTTTCATTCGGCATTACCAACTCCAAACAGCACAGCAAGTCTAGTCTGTTTAACTACAATTAAGGAAATAGATCAAGGTGGTGCTTTGAACACACATGCAGAATCGTCAAGTCGCCTAATGCTTTCCATCGAGTAAGTTCCTTTTTAATTACTACACCCAGGCTTGATTAGTTCGAAATATTTTAATTGGCTTCACCGATGGTATTGTATAGAATGCCCTGGGTTCCTTCCACAATTTACTTGCAAACTTCTTCCCTTGTTTAGATATTTAACAGCCACACTAATGAAGAGATAAATCATTTACGGAGAACGCGGACATTCTCAATTCCTAAATCAAAATATTTTCTGTTACACAATTTGACATTAATGCTTTTTCAACCGCTTTGTGCGTTCAAGCTGTTCACTCACATCTGAATGACACCCAAAATAGGGCTGGTAAATGGTCCTGTGTGCGTGTTTACCACATAGCAAATTGAGCCTTTAAATGATTCTAATGATCAAGGTGACCGAAACTCAACTTCAGACAGACTGAGATGTGGCGAATTAAATTACAGCGACATGTCTCCAAAAAGTTAGATTACTATTACCAGTTTTTCGGGTGCTGATGTTGGGATCGTGATGATAAATTTCAGTTAAAGGAAGGTGACAGAAGTCCATTTTCAGTCAACAAAAACGTTGGTTAATTTCAAAAAAGTAAGACGAAAACTTTCAGTGCTACCTCAAATCACAGGTTTTTGACTAAACGATCAACTTTGGATTTGTCAATTCAAGCTGCCGTCGCTACGCCATGTCGTGCCGATTCGTACAAAGCGAAGTACCCCACTTGAAACCGAACGCCTGACTCGTGCCCGTTGAGGGACAACTGACGTGTGAAAATGCGAATCCTGAGTGAGTCAACGTGTGCTGTGTTAATGTGTGCAGCCGGCACTCTTCACCCAACGCGACGAGTAGTGCTGGTGTTTTACTGGGAAACAGCATTCGCTTTGTACTTCACTCACTCAACCTCCGGCACTGAGTGCCAACAGAGCGCGATACTTCCTTCTGAGTTCTTTTTTCCGCTACTGCAACTGAACCAGCCCGTTCTCGTCCCGTCAGTCAGAAGCCTTCAATATTCCTGCCCACAGAACATTCCGATCAGGTGTCGGCTTCACTCCTGTGATTTTGTCCTATTTGGGTTACTGACTTGGCTGTTTTTATTAAAAAATCTGCAGAGAACACACCAGTAATAAAATGTATCGATGTAGACAGCAGTTTGGCCATCAAGCAAAGCATGGAAATGGCAACATCAGAAAGGAGAATTTGTCCACACCTCACTGCTTCGATTGCTATGAATTTCGCAGAAGTATGCTTGCGTTAAATTGCGTATTCATTAATCTAATAAGTCAATGACAATTCAGCCTGTGCTTTGCTAAACTCAACTTTCATCTCAGTTTTCTACGAAGTGGGCCATATTCCCTCATGTTTTCAGTCAAATTAGCCTTTTGGAGGTTAGTGAAATATCAAGAATGCATAAACAAACCCCACTCCACCCACCCCACTTCTGCTTGTGTAATTTTCGCCTAGAGTATTATAATTATTTTGGTCAAGACTACAAAATTAACGCGCTGTTGTGTATCCACGTTAAACATTACCGGGAGGGGCCTGTCATAAGTAGGCCACAATTAAGAGGGTTACGGAGTGTTAGTCAACGGTTTACAACCTTTGGCCACGATTAACTGCCTCTCCACTTAAAATATTCATTTGCATTACGCAGCCCTTAACTTCCTACACACCTTTTGACACCGTGGTTCGTGGATAACGTGTCAAGTTTGGCATTCTCTTGCACATTTTTATTTCTAAATTAGGTGACCTGGGCACACGTTAATGTAAAGAATGGAAGACAGAATAATAGAAATTGATTTTAGCAAGTAGGTTTTTCCCTGACTGCCCAAGAGACCATAAGTTTTATTCAGGAAGAATCCCAAGTACAAGGTTGAGCCTATCTGAGTCCAAACCAAATGCATGGAGTTAGCCCGCTCTGGTTACAAATGTGGTTAGAGGGGGCAACGAAGCAGTCGGGTTTGATGAGCGGTGATGTTTCACTCAGATTACAAGTGATTAGCACAAAAGGAGGACCGTTGACTTGATTTCTCGGCCTACTTTGCTATAGAACGCGCTGAGGTAGGGAACCGCATGTTATGCGGATCAATGGGTCAACTGCTAGTTATGATGGAGGGGAGAGAGGCATGATAACACCTTACTACCGGACATGCCCAGAAAAAAAACTACCCAAAATGGTAAAGTGGGACGAAATGTCGCCAATTGGTTCAGTTGTTTTCTGGTATTTCAAGTGGACAAAACGACCTGAAAAGACCTCAGATACTCCTGGTTTTGACTCGGTGTTAACAGTACTTGAGTGTAGATGGTTGAAACTGCGCATACACCTAACGCGTTAGTCGCATTAGACTGTGGTTACGGCGGACGTCAATCGCGAGCACCAGCGTTTGATTCTTGCATGATCTTGGTAACCAGCCCATATTCTCTAAATTGAAGGAAAACTCTAAACTAGTACTACCTACCTTACTTCTAAAACAATAGAATTGTCGAAACAGTAACACTTCGAAGTTAAATCGACTGTATAAGCACAGGTTAACAGGTTAATGTGATCGTAAAGGGAGTATGACGAGGAACGGGAGCGAAACTAGGGCTGGTGAGGCTGAAAAAATGCGCGCACGGCGGACGAGAGTTGGCAACTTCGCAAAACCCGCGACCTTCCAAATGTCGGAAGATGTTCAAGGTCACTTCCTGCCGTGCACACACGCGAATGCGCGAGCGCGCACACGTCCGTGCAAGCGCGCCGCCCCCAAAACGCGCGTTGAGATCACACACACACACACACACACACTTGTGGATAATTACCTTCGCAAGTATAACCGTCTTATCAACTTTGCCACCCATGATGGGTTAAAATGGTGTGAGACTTCAATTCGATTACACTGATAGCCTGTTTAAACTAAAATTGATGTCAATAACATGGTTGCTTCAATGACGTAATCGGTTGCAGACCGTTCACCCGGAAAATATATTAGGATGGTTTTATTATCTTGCCGAGACTGTTCCAATAGCGCCAAATATAGTAATCACCATAATTCACACTGGAGCGCGTCATGGGAGTCAGAGGAAGGCTTGATTTTGTTGGTCACCTCCAGAGTAGACTTGTGGTTTTACGACGGAGGATTCCGAAGCTGACTGGTTTTGGAGTGGTTTCGTTCGTCCGTAACAGCCCAAGAAGAAAGAGAAGGAAGGCGAGAACGGACACAATCGCTCATTTGAATCAGACCTGCCAAGTACCTTTGTGTGCGCGGATGAGCACGCGTGCGTATCAGATCAACAAGCAAGCTTCACTCGCACGCGATCGCTGACAATCCACCAATTACGTCACCGTTCACATGTCACAGACCAATTGAAACAGTAAATCATGGATCCTGCCAAGCCAAGTTATAGATCCATCGACAGGCTCTGTGTAGTCAAGAGTTTTTCCCATTCAAAGTGCGTCTAGGGCCATTAAAACCTATTTTATTGTCTCCTGGACCTTTTGATGTCGATTTTTTAAATGCCTCGTTTATAACTGTGCTAACACGTCGAAAACACGCGTGCGTTACACCTGACATTGAGATCACCGTCGTATTTTATCGTTTTCAGCATCATATATGTGAAACATTCAAGGGCTTATCGAGAGGCCTGAGTATCCGGAAAAAAATCATCCTATAGCTCAACTAATCGTATTTCGCGAAGATAATTGGCAGTCTTGCGTTCGTATATACGGTCTTTCCTGTGTCTACTTGGCAACTTTTACAAGAGGGTTGACTTGGTGATGTTAAAAACAATAGGTTATCGATTATGTTCAACTGAAATTGCACTATCAGCAATCGACGTATTCCACTGTCTTACTGGGATATGTGACCCTTTAGTCTAACTTGGTCACTTTGAGAACCAGAGCTGACATTGAATTGATGCATTTGTAAATAAAAGGGAAGTGTCAGAGTAGTGGTCAGTAGTTAGAACAGGAACAAAATCATTAGGCACGTATTGGGTGGGCTGTACCAAAATTTCGCGGGGTTCAAAACACAGGAGGAGACTTACTTCCGTGCGCTTCGCGTCAAGTGTCATGAGAGCTGTGAATGCGAAAATTTGGAGGACAAAGTTGATGACAATAGCCACGCCAGCGTAGAGCGCGAAGACCCGTACGGCGGGCATGTCTGTCATAGCACCTGAACAGGAAGACAATAAATCTGTGTAGTTTACTCATCCAACCCTCACACCTGTCCCGCCACATCATGTTTTAACCTCGAAGTCATTCTTGGTCATTAAAAGATCTCAAAAACTGCGAGTGTTGGCATGGCAACACAGTGTGAAATGGTTTTCGTTGAGTTCCATAAAACGTGGATTAAGATAATCGAAACGGACGCTAAGTGAGGTGAATCCTGGCGGCGCACAGGCCAGCAATGTTGGGAATACCGGCCACTCGAAATTGGATCAAGATAAATATCACTTATTCTAGCATGACTGCCGTGGGTGAAGAGCAACTACACAGTTGACGGAAGGTGTAATTGTCCATTTTTTTTTTAATTTTAGAGCACGGTCTTGACCAGAACGCACCACAAAAGAATGCTACTGATTCAGCCAGACTGGAGAGAAAAATGGAGGGTCCAACACGACCCATGGTCTTTGAGATGCGCATCTCCACCGAACTCCTTTGTGTGCCACTGGCGTGTTTGCCGCTTTGTCGCCGACTTGCACCGTCCCTCTCACCGTCGGTGAGGCTGTCTTGACTTCCAAATATCTCCTCGTCCTCCTCCTCCTCCTCCCCTTCCTCCTCGTGCATCGCGAAGTCCTGCACCATGATGAAAATGTTGTCCACGCCGACGGCCAACACGAGAAAGGGGATGACTTCGATTATTATAAGGGTCGCCGGGACCCCAACAAAAGACCACAGGCCGATGGAGGAGAAGATGGAGGCCAGGACGATCGAGACACCTCCGATGCTCAGCGATATTTTGAGGTCAACCTAGTAGAGGCAGGGTCAAGTATTGAAAGGAAGTATCTGCTTCAGTCAAAGTAAAACATCATATTAGAGGGGCTTAATGACTAAAACTGCGCTACAGCACACCATTGTTGCCGGAAGGAACCAGTGGATAACAGGGCGATTCAAAACTGTCACCGTATAAGCGAAGTGGCGAGGTGATTTATGCTGCTACCGTTTAAGTGCGGTGCATTTGCCAAGAGATGGGAATATCTCGTGTGGAGCACACGAAAATCCGCAAAGTTCTAATTCTGTGCGCCTCAATGAGAAAACTTTCTCACCTTCTTTTACCGTTATACACTGGGTCCGATAAAGGATAGTTGAATTTTTCGACAGTCTCAAAATCAATGCACGCACGAATAAAGAATAAGGGAGATTATTAAGTCAGGTGAATTAAACAAGATGACCTTAGGCACAAAGATGAGGTTATTTCCGAGGTTATTTTCAAAGATAAGAGCATTTATGCATTACGCCCTTAACCTAAGTGAAACAATGCGCCAAGAAATCAGAATTTACGCAATAAATAAAACTCACAAGACAAGTTCTGAATCCGCGATAATTTCCCAGGCAAATGCTCACATAAATGACCATGATGGCGTAACTTATTATGATCGTTGAAATGTCAGAGTGTGATTGACGAATGATCTCATCTTCGACTGATCGCTAAAACAGTAAAAGAGGCCATTATTTGTTTTCCGCAATCTGAATATGTTAATGATGTCTCGACCGATGTGCCTTTTATTGTCCGGTCTTGGGATTAATGACTAACGAAGATTACATTCAATACAAAGCCTGCAGAATCACCCAAAAAAACAGAAAACGTGTGTATTCAGGCTGGAATTCGTGTTCCCCTAGTTCACAAATTCAAGGAGATAAGGTAAGGCAACGTTTTTACCGGTCTGTATGGCAACAGGGATAAGATTTGGACTTTTACAACGCAAGAGGCGAATGCGGAGGACACTGGAACGGCTAGTTTATCACTCTGTGCAAAGATAACGAAAACAGCTTTCTACGAAATCCGGTTTCTTGGAGGTCTTAAAAGAACATTTTCCGTGGGACTTTATAAAGCACACTTATGCGTTCCGTAACAGCTTTCAATTTTAACAATCTGCTGACAAATCCCCGTGTTCGTTTTCAAACCAGGGACGAATTTCGGCGCAGGAAATTAATTTTACTATATTCCGAAATTGCACCAATATTGAAAGCGTTATGTTTTGGGGACACATACGAAAGCGTGCATTAATCAGAAAATCGGATACTGAATCTATTAAGGAATTTATTGGTATTTTAATACATTTCATGTTGCTTAAACTAGAACCAAACGCGTCTTCCTCAAAGTCATTATTACTAATTGAATGAGAGATACAAAGTCATTAAATATTAAAGCTGTTCAAATTACAACTCTACAGAAAGCATCAGGGGATTTCGCAGGGCAAGAATGGATCAATTACGGCAAAAACGGAAAAAAAACACAAGCAAAAATGGTAAGCTTGCAATGATTTGGATGCATTTATGTGTGTGCAAAATATTGACTTATAAAAAACACGAAAAAACGGTTAATTCTGTCCACTCAAATCAACTTCTTGGTCAACGTCGATATGCCTAAGTAGGCGTAATGCTTGTTACAGTTTTGCCGGGGTGGAGGAGAGGAAAGTGCTGAACGTGGTAAACACAAAAAACAGATGGCCAAAGAGACTACGTGTCTAAGTATGTCCTCCTGGCTTATTGAACTACCAGCACGCATTATTATTACTTTTGTTTTTTTAATGGTTCTTATCATCTCCCTTCTTGCATGCGCGTTTTCCATTAAATTTTTCTGCAAATAAAATGTATCCTTTTGAAGTAGGCCCCACTGCGTTTTTAGAATTATTCTCGGAGGTGGAGTAGCTATTTAAAGAATCTTCGCTGCGAGGTGTATACAAGAGTGTGTGGGAGGGGGGACTTCATGGACCATTAAATAACAGCAGAGCTCTCACTCGGGAAAGCACTACTTTGGTGTAGGGCAAATTCACACACGAGAAAAGAGGTCCTGTGATAGTTGGACACACTAGATACTAGCCTGTTAGACAACCCACGATGGGGTGGGTGTTGGGGGGTGGCGATCATTTGACCACATGTTTCGCATTATGCATGCACGTCGTGCCAACGGCCATGCCACCACCTCGCAGGCACACAGGCACTCGTCTCAAGCCTCGGTTTCCTTTTAGTCCGGTAACTAGGCTTTGTGTTGGGTGTGTGCGTGTGTGTGTTTTTCTCGTAGCAACGGTGATAACGCCAGGTAGAAAACTTGCGCCCAAAACCTTTCACGGGTGAAAATAGTACTGAACGTGAAAATCGATGTCAATGCTGGACATACGCACAGCGTCCCATAAACAGAAAAGTTAGTGGACTTGAGGTAGACGTCTCACAAAGTGGCACCATTAGTTAACAAGACAACGAACCTGCATTCAGCACATTTTAGAGCCAGGCAACTGTAATTAATCGTCAGTTGTAATAACCGAACTTATGCGGTAAGAACTATAAAATTGAAGGATTGTTGAAGTCCACGAATGGAAGCAGTATATCTGGCAAGGGGTCGCAAAATGGGGTGTCTGTGACATTATGCGAACGCCATTCACCACATAAGGAAGTTGAGGAAACAACGTGAACCAGTAACGGAGAGAAAGTGACATTGATCAACACCAAGGTTGCCAGAACTCTAGTTTCGATTGCTCATAATAATGCTAACAATTTCCACCGACTGATAGTTCATTTCCACTTTCACCCACTTAATGCCCACCCTCCGGATTCCAAAGTTACTTTTATAAGAATACTTCCTGTCTTATACAAGTTAGGTAGCAAAAACAGATAGCAAAAGCAACATTACATTTTTTTAGGGGAAAATAGTGCTGTTTAGCTATTGTGAGATTTAAAAATCAGCACAAGGCATTCCAGTACAAATACCTGGAATGGGCTTACACGTGCTGCAAAAAGTCTACCGATCATTACAGAGTCGCATGTGGAACTGTGGAACCTTGGTTTTCTGCGAAGTTCGGTTCGATTCATGGTTTCAGAAATATGCGATATTTTAGGCTAGAACGTGAATTAAGTAATATCACTTCTACAATAGTCATTACGCAGCTTGTGGCTGATAGAGACACAAAAGGATCCTTTCATGCCACTCAAAGTCCTGAACTTACTTCAGCAGCGAAATTGACGACAACATCTGGATGAGCTTCGCGCCAGGCTAGGACCGTCTTGATGAATTCGCCTTCCCAGGCTTTGGCCATTCGCACCTTTGTGGAGTCGTGGTCGACCGCGTTCTCCACCAAAATGGTTATGACCACCGCCGAGGCCTCCATGTAATTGTCCTCTGCAATGATGAGCAATCAGACAACTGTAATGCAGTGTGTGGCAAGCCACCAAGTCGTTCTCGTGCTGAATCTCCAAACTCCCATTTCCACAAAGTCTGGCCTTTTGTAATAGCACTCCTGACCAAACCGACATTACTATTTGGGCGAGCATCGGCCAAATGCTACGCTGCTAAAGCTGTGCTGTTTCACACACACCATTAATTTTTTATTACCAATAAAAGAAGGCATCTGTTAACTTGGACTATTCTTGGGGTTATCATCTAACTGAAACGTAGTAGAGTCAGAGGCGTCTAAATCGCTAGCAGATTGGTGGGCCATTAAACCTGCGTTACACAAAAACCATCGCACTTTGCTAAAGTTTCCCACCAAGTTGGACAAGTTACGTAGGCTGACAGGAAATTCAACACCAAATTTAGCCGGTCAAATTTTATTTACGTGACTTGTAAAAATTTAAACTACACGAGCATTTCCCTGAAGAACATATCACATAAGATTTTTACAGTAGAATCCTTAGTTATCGGACAAATCGCAAGGGTTAATTTTTGTAATAACTTATTACATCGACCACATTTGACAAGAAAAGCATGTTTTGTCGATGAGTCAATGGCACAGTGTACTTGTTCCGACACTTGCCAAGTATGGCAGACGACCTGCGTATAGGTACGTTCAGCGTAATTTCGAATGCCATACATTTTGCGCCCTACTGATGACCAATGACGTCACGCAAAAGTCTAAACGCTTACGGCAGCAAATTTTGCGAATTCTTGCAATCTCTAGGATTTAGACACCACTAAGAACCTTTGATATGATAATGCCTCCTTACTAACTCCTATTTCGCACACAATGAGTAGACTCTCGTTCACAGGGGGTTATACACTTTGCGGATAGACGGGCGCTTATAACTTCTGTAGTACACTCCTGTACGCGATTACTGCCTTGTGTGCGTCTGAAGCTAGCCAGGAAAAGAATGTAGATGGCTTCCGCCCACTTAAATTTACCTTCAGTGCATAAAACACTACCACGCGGAACTATTGGTAGGCAAAATGTTGGCATACTTTTGGTGGTGCAGCCTGCTGCCCTGATGCAACGTGAGATAGTTTATTTGAAGCAAGGAGGTGCTAAGTCCAGCAGCTAAACGGAAAACATGGGAATTTACACCAGAATAGGTGTGGAAAAAAAACTATTTGCGCAATGAACAATCGTTGTGGGGAAGTGGTGAAGCGTACAGAAACACAAATCACTGCGTGAGATAATGTATGAACACAATAAGCGAATTGGCAACAGCGAAAGAGCCCTACCACAAACCATGAAAGGTTCATACTTTATTAAAAATCAAGGCCTTTGAAATGGTTTTTGAACACATGGTATTATGTGTTATTCTTTTCAGAAACACACTTCAATGGCTAGAAAGTGATGCCAAAACTAAGTGACAGTAATTATCGAAATCTTATCAGTATTAAGTAATCCAGTTTGGATACTCAAAAGGATATTAGAATAAATCGCGGTCGAGACGACATAGCAAAGGAAATACAAAAGTGCGACCACCTAATCGAAAACATTTGAAGTTTTACTCTAGCACTCAAACTTGCGGAGGAAGACATGCGTTCAAAATTCGAGTTTCCCCAACCGAATGCTCAAGACCTAGTTTTTTTGTGGAATCAACAGCGATATTTGACCCAGCATGAAGGCCGTTACAAGTGACAGCATTAGTTCTTGATCCACTGCAAGTCAGATATGTGATAAGACGGAACGCGCTTAGTCTCCATCAAGGTGAAATTGGTACATCAAGGACAAAATTCACGAAGGGATGTCAAATAAACTGTATTCAACATAGAACTCGTTGTTGTGCAAAGAAACCATTCAGCAGCGCGAAGTTGTGAACTACGAGGGCTGTCAATGGAGTGCATGGCATCTACGGGGATCGACACAATCCAAAGGGCATTTGAAAAAAATTTACGCTGTCTTTTTTGGCCCCACGTTTCATCAGGTCAATTTTGTGACAGATTAACGCTAGTAGAGATTTATGCATCATTACAAATTTTGTCTGGTGTTTGTGAAAAAACGGAATACAAAATAAGGCGGAATTTAAAGTGTGAAAAAACAGCATTGTGAGTTATCACTGGAATTCCTATGGAGATGGAACCCTAGAAGAGTGCTGTAAAAGCCCCTAAATCACCAAAGTGTGCCCAGCAAGCATCAGTATTTTTGGTTAACAGTCAACTCATGCGTTGAAAATGCTTCGCAAAGCCTACCTTTGATACCGCCAAAAACGACATTGCCAAACATTGGTACGCCTGAACGGCCGCGGCAGCTACCCAGAGGACCGTTGTCGGCGGCTATCAGCTTGGTGCAAAATTTGAGATGGTCGAGGTAGTCCTTCGAGTCGCTCTACAATTGCATGGACCAACAGGACTATCGGTGTAATCCAACTTTGCTAGACGCATGCTATTAATGGGGGAGGCTGATTTAAGCAATTCCAGAAGAGCGTAGATCATGGCGATAAAGATAATGCGATTCAGGAATCCTGAACTGTCCGGAAGTTATAAAAAGGCGCCCCCTCTGGCCAGCCAAGCAAGCACACTAGTCCTCCCTCTCAGTTTACTGTCCAAGATCTCAGTGGAAACTAATGCCATTACGGCTAAAATCGATGTGCAAATAATTTCACTTACCACGGCATCAAGAAGCGTCGCATTACTCTGGAAGTATTCCAGCGGACTGAAAACACCGCATTCTTCCGATACTGGCTCAAGTGGTTTGTAGCATATGTCCGTCAGTTTGACCTCGCCACCGAATTCCCCGAAGCGGGTCCTCACCTGGACCACTTTTGTTTGAAGATCGAGCACCTGAAGTATTTGGTAAAGCAAAACAATTGCATATATGCTAGGTACACTACCCATATTTGACGAAAATTCGATTCCAGTAGTTACCATAGTACACATTACCACACCTTTTATATCGCTTGTCCTAATGTTGCACGGTCCCCATACAACCTGGAGGCTAATATTAATCGCAAAAAACTGCTACAAATTGGATTCCTTAAAAAAACCGTTAATAAAACCGACTAATGCATATTAGTCAGTCAAGGCCACCGGGCTACTTTGGAGTAAGAAGACGAAGCTGTAAGACCAGTGTTAGAAGAGTGCCATACCGCTTGCAGAAATTGCTTGCCGAAGACAGGGCCGTAGATCTGACCATTTCTGACGAATGGGGTCGAGTTGATTGGCCTGATTATAAGTTGCTCTGTCCGATGAAAAGGCCTGAAAGGAAGTTGAATTTAATGCCCGAAAACTGTTGGCTAAGACACCGTTTCCCAAGACGGCTCATCGCGAGTTAGGATTTCGCCATTGTTTGGAAAACTGCCCTAGCCACGCAGCTTAAGTTGATCACTCATCCATGGCACTCCACTGATAGCCCCATCTGTATTAGCCCATCCTGGTATATCAGGTTAAGGTCATCCTCGACTTATTTAACTGGGTACATTCTAACATTTCACTTGCAATTCCGCTGCGACAGTAAAGGCGCTCTGCACGAGGTCGGGTCTTTGTCCAGTACTGAGAAATCGGGGTCTAGTTCTAGACAGAAATTTGGTGTACCAGTTATTTGAGCAAATGATTCCGGTTGCGAGCAATACCTAACGAAAGCACTGTTTTCACTAAGAACTCTCAAATTTCAGACTTTACAAAAAATCGATTTTTCGCGTAGGAAGGGGACGATTGTTTTAAAGAAAAAACATGTTGCTTGCGTAATTAAACATATAGCCAAACATGGCTACCATCTTAAATTTGTTATCTCCTAGTGCGCTTAGAATCGCTTTTTAATGAACAATTTAGCACCTGGTTGCATGAAACCTGATTCTCGGTCAACACTGAAATATTTTACAACCCAATCTGCCTTCGTAGAAAGTAAAACTTTAGTAAAACTTCGAATAACTTTTAAATTGAACTTTTGTAAAACCGATGGTTATATTCACGCCTGCATGTAAAAGTTTCCGCTATGTAGCCACAATGAAATTAAAATGAAAGAGATGCATAATGAAGACACGGCGAACACACACTCACTGGATAAAACCACCCAGCCATTTTAGTACATTATCCCCTAATCTATTTGAGTCCGTTTTAGGTGGTGCAACTGCGACAGCAAATTTCCCTGCGTGTATAATAAAACCCTCAAAACATCTACATGATTCCAGGGATTTTACGCAAATCAGAACATAGAGGGTAATGCCATTAAATTAGTCTTATGTCGACAGGACCTACTCCGTCACCGACCGACAACAGCAATCCTTGGTTATGTATTTATTAACCTTATAGTTTAATTTAACGTTGTGTCTGGTACAGATTGCAGCAATGGAGGTACGCATCACTGGTAATAATGGGACCTGGTTACTGGACCAATGGAAAAGAAAATATTAAACCATTTCCGATAGATGTTAGATAAATAAACACTAGCAATTCCAGCAGGATTGATCTAAAGGAAAATAGGAAATGGTAGTCATGGCTTCTGTGGAGCCCTACATAATGCATGCTTAAAGAGAGTTAGGGATTCTTGGTAAATAACAAATTGCGAATTCCAGAGTACACTGAGGACTGCTGCAAATGTTTCAATTCTGCTTGAAGGCCGCATAAAGTAAGATTTTGCCTAGCTTTATCTTTACGCTCGATCCAGATTTTCTACGGCAGGCACGGGTGAGTAAAGTGGACAACTGGAAAATGGCACATTAAATTTGCGGAGCGGAATTCCGCATTCCACGCACGACCATTTCGGGACAGACTTGAAGAAATATTTCGACCTGCGAGGCAAATTGTGTGCGAGGGCTCTGACCAGTAACCACTTTAGTAACGCGAAACACGATTTTCTTGGACTGCTGCACTATTGTTGCGCACCCTCTAGCACGTGCATAAACCTCAAGAGTAACATCCACCACGGTGATCCACTGTAGTCATGGTCAAGATAAAGGTTTCTATGTGCCGAAGCTTATCAACTTGGCGCATCGTCCATTCAAAGTGGTCACACGCGATGATTATAAAATGTGATTGATTTCGAAATTTATGACTTACGAGCACCGCTATCCAAAAACCAAAGCATAAATTGGTCACCGCTTGATCGGTGCAATCTTTTAGTACATAAAAGCTCAACCATTACTGCTTGGACGAGTTAGGACTTGGAAAATGATAAAATAAAGCATTGTTAATTCACTAATTCAAGGTGTAGAGGCTTCCACCTTCATTGAAAGGAACCAATCAACGCGCGACGAAAAAAGGCCCAAATTTAATCGAGGTTACATTTAGCGCAAAACAAGAGGGTTATACGGATCGTCAAAACTAGCACATCGGTAGTAGTTCAATCCCATGTGAACCATCCCATATTTTTTGAATGCATGCTGAATTATTTTAAAAAAAACGAAGTGTGATAGAGAGGTAACTTTCGACCATCGCACATGGTGTATAAAGGGTGAACAAAATCAAAACATATTGACCGAGGCCCCATCGTCTCACACGTATCAAAATCATTATTCTTTTAATACGGACCTAACCGTTACGAAAGCGGCATGACAACAAGGCAAAGTGAAAAAAAATCCAAACCAACTAACCCGAAATGCTCGTCGAAGTAGGCCTTTTCAAGACGAGCCCTGGACTTGGGGTCGCTCCAGAGGTCTACAGGATCAGTGGTGACACGAAACCGGAGGAAGCCGCAGCACATGATCGCCAGCATAAGGAAAGTCAACAGAAGGGTTGTCTTTGGGAACCGGGCAACCAGGGCACCCTGACGAGCAAACAGCTGGAGGGGGGAAGAGGGGAAAGGCATGATGTTGGAGGCGTCGCTTTAGACACTTTCACGCAAAATTGGAAGGACTTGCTCTGAGATGAGTCAGTGCAGTCTGTGTAAGTATCTGACATTACTTGATAATAAAAAATTTTCCCCAAAACAATAATTAATCAATCAAAGTTGCAATCTGTTTTGTAAAAAAACAGATACCTCTAGAGTTATGAAACTTTTGTATCAAAAAAAGTAACTGCAGACATACATAATTTGAGCAATCGATGAGACATGTTATCAGTAACTAAACACGATAGTAAAACGCATTTATGACGGTAAACTTCTTTGTTATCAATAACCTGAGATCGGGACATCTAGTCAAGTTCTCTTGCCCAAAAAGTTAATATATATCCTAATAAAACTCACACAAATGCCAGTCTACATTACCATTAGTATTATTTCGAGGGTGTTGTTTATTCAAACGCACTTCGCTGTGCCAAATTAGGGGTTCAGGATATGTTGGGGATCCACGATTCCCCAAGATTGGTTTCTGATTTTATTTACATTAATTTATTAACATTTATTTTGTTACGCTTTTATCAAGTCAAGGTCAACCTTGACTTGAATTACTTTCGACATCACTTCTTCTCTGCACGTGGCTCACGTGAATAAAGCTCTCTACTCGAGCTCTGGTCTTGTTCTGGTATTAGCCTGGGAAGGTCGGTTCTAGCGTTTAGCAAGGGATTTGGTACCGTTATTTGAATGGTCTTCTCTATTATTACGGGCAAACGTAACAGGATATGATGAAAGAACCGGTGAATTGACCTCATATAGCCTAATTGAACAGCCGAATTCTAAAAAGCTTTTATGACAGTGCCGCGATTTGTAGCCCTATCTGTTAAAAAGTGTGGGCGTTTTACAGAAGTTTTAATTAATGTTGTGGTAACAGGCGGACATCTGCAACTGCTGTGACGCTCGCTTTTTGGTAAAACGTGAAATACTTATGTCCCCTGAGATCCAACCACACAAATGACACGACTTTTTCACCCGCAGACTTTGAGTTTGGATCCTAACTCCTACTACTCAAAAATCACTTTTTATAACACGCTATGTTTGCATCGGCAATCCTTTTTTGCTTCGGAAGGGTGTATGTTTAATTTGGGCTATCAGATATACGCTGCTGCCTTGTCCATTTTGCATGACTTTTGACATGGGCAAAGCGTTGCTCTCAGCCCTTTCTTCTGCTGTATAATGGAGTATAAAATTTTCACCGTTGAGCTTTTAAGAAATAGGTCCCTAATATGAACTCGATGAAGATTCGCATTTCTTCAAACTACAATTAAAACACTAGCAACAAATATAAACTGTGTTCGCAGCAATAAGTACACTCAACCTGCAACAGAAATGTGTTACGGAATAATCAATTCCACATTTACTTTACTACAAAAATTGCATATTTATAGATAAATCTTCTGAATTTGCAACAAAATTGTGTCAAAAGATGACAACTAACCCCACACAATAACTTCGCTAGGGTACAGGTTCTTTAAACACAAGAGCCCACCCTTCGCAAGAAGTGGTAGCCACAATCGAGTACACATGGCCCCAAAAGACAAATTAATGTAACTAAGCTGAAAATTACATAGTTTATCTGGGATTTCTGTAAAAATAAAATTCTGTTTTGCATGGTCGTCAACCTGGTGTTGTCAAAGGCAACTACCTTGGGAGGCGTTGGAATCCAGCGAACACAAGATGTCGAGTTCAAAAGTGTGACCACTCTATGTGTGAATCATGGGAAAACTTACATCACAATTAGGATTCCCATAGTAGCACGCATAAATCCGTTTGCCTGGGCTAACTTGAGTGGAGGACGCACAAAACGCCAAGTACATAAATAAGTGTTAAATCTAGTGGGGGACGTTTAAGACATTTCTTTCCAAAACTATGACAACCCGCAAGACCTGCAAAGTGTGCAATCCAACACTTCAAACTACGACATCAAGTGGACACCATTGTGGGATTGGATTATGGGGAACGGGTGATTGGGAAACCAACTCAGTAACGTACTCTCATACCACTAAATCTTGTCACTAAGTCGATAGTGGTTATGGCAATTTAAACGAGAAGAGGCCGTCAGTGGTCGGCCAATGTCGTGAAGCTCCTGGAAGTGCAACTGAGATCACCACTATTGGAGAACATGGCTCAAAAATGGCATGAGATGTGTTTGGGACACGAGTCATATCAATATCACCTCCATTTTCCACCACATTTATCTATAATTAAATCTCTTGTTCGTTCTCTTGATATTCTTCCCTTCAACGCACGGCTCTTGCCCGCCCCTGGTCAAGCCCAAAACCGCTTATTGTCAGCTTTTGATCAATACACCACTATGCAAGTAAAAACATACTTGATTTGAATTTTACAAACTTTTCATTAGTAGTAGTAATTACATTGCACCAATAAGTAAACTAATGATAAGATCGTGTCATTTAACCAATGGTCAGACTGAGGCTCCGAAACAATTCACAGTCGAAACCAGCAAAAGTAGTTTATTCATTAAAAAACAACTTGCAATAGTAATCTTCGTAGTAGAAGTTAAGGATAAGACGTCAGCGCCAATAGGTAATGCCGTTTGAGGTACAAGTTAGCACACGAAGGGATTGGGGCTTAACACTTCAGACACATTTTGGAGATCGTAGAACATTTAACTAATGCATCCCCAGTAAAGGCAATTAAGGACATTGGCCTAGATCCAGAGTTCTGAACAATAATAGCGATCTTCGAAGCAAGGCGTATGGTGTTAAAAATAATCTACTAACCCAAGTGGATCCAAATTGAATGGTGGCACCGACTTTAGAGTAGCAGCCAATAGGTGGGGAGTAGGAGCCGACGACGTTGTCGTCCGCCTGTCGCTCGACACACCACCGGATCGCGAGTCCAGCAAGGAAGAACAGCGTCAGCCCCAAAAACGTCAGCAGCATTGCCAGCCCCAGGGGCTGGTCGTAAACTCGGCGCACGGGAACTGGGTCACCTGCCGGTGCGGGCTCTTCAACCGCACGCGGATTAACTGGTGAACATTAAGAACAGTTAGTTAATGAAGATATCCCATCAAATTTGCATCCTAGGTGCTATCGAAAAACAACTTTTTTTTAAAAAAAAGTAACTAAGATGAATTAGTTTGACACAGGAAGGTATGTAGTTTCAGCGACTTGTTAAATAGCAGCTGAAACCAAAAACATCGTAGTGCTATTTTAAACTGAATTGTATGGCAGCCTAAATTTCGTAAATGCACCTGAAGTCAAGCCCAAACTGGAAAACTTTTCTGATTCCTCAGTGCAAAAAAATGCTGCTTGAGATACTCGAGTTAAGCATTTCAGGAACGAAGATCACTGACACAGGTGGCTACAATGTAGTGCTTTAGGAAGTCCTAAATTTGGCGGTAATTGCGAAGTTAAAATTAGCTAGGTCACCCCTAAAAACAACAAATACCCCTACTTTATTTAATGTTGCTGTGCCTCATTCGGCAAGAAATTTGGTTGCACAATTTAAAGTTACAATGAAAAACCAACCTGGGGACTGCTGGTCAGCGGATTCCTTTAGTTCCCAATGCTCTGCTGGTAACTGGTCTGTATTGTTAGGAGAAGTATTTACAGATTCATCTTGTTTGTTGGATGTGTTAGCTGCTATGTCGTCCGTGAAGACAAAGTTGATTCCGTAGGGCGATCTGCCGCCCTGCTCCTCCGGGGTGCCCAGACTACGAAAGAACGTCTTCATGTCGCAGTCTTCTTGGTTGCAGATAACAGATATCGCCTTGCCCAGGAAAAAGTCCTCAATTTGCTAATAAAGACGAAACATCAATGGCACTACGTGGAGAGAGAAATCGAAAAATGAACTCATTGGCCTCTTGTGAACCGATTTGGATGTTGAAGGAGGAGTTTCGATCCAGGCTTGCTCACATTGTTGTATAAACGACATGCTTGCGTTTCACTTAACAACACTGGTAATTCGACTAACTTAAAAACAAATTTCTGAGTGTATAATAGCTTTTTTCCGTAAAGTACCAATGGTTTTGCTGCAAACTTGAAAGGTACAAATTTGCATTAAAAATTAAAAAAAACAAAAAATATTTAGGATACGTTCAACCGATCTTTTTCAAAAGAAACGTACTGCACAGGCATTAAAAATGCGTTGCGCCTCCTTGAGCGATACCGAAAAGTCGATAGAAGTCACAGATCCATTTGAAGTGTTTCCAGTGACAGTCACCAGTTCTGATTGCCTTGGACTGCACGTCATATCACAAAATATTTGTCGAAGCCCATTATAACACGTGGGATTATCAGTATTGCTAGAGTATAGAAAATAGTAAATACATTGAATAGGAGCGTCTCGTTCTCTGATTTTTGCCAGTCGCATGCTCTAAATTGATAACAACATGGCTCAAATTCGTAAAAAGTTGAATCCCAAAGTGCTGATTTGTTTAATAGTGTCATTTTTAAATTTCATTGAAAAATAAACAACGCTAATGAATAAGACTAAGCAAAGTATAATACAGGAGTGTAATCCAGTGTATATTGTTAATACACATGGGAAATTGTAAATTGAATGCCCATGTTAGTTAAATGTTTTTTAATTACTGTAAATGGAATATTATGAAATTAGGATTAAGCTCTTCAATAAGACAGTTTTGGTACAGCCAATGTTGAGTAAGTATGCTTTTCACATACTGCTACCTTGGGGAAACGTTTTTACTAATGAAAATCCTTAAGGTTGAAATCAGAGACTTGGATTAACGCTAAGACTAGAAGGGCTAAAATACTTTACCTCCTGTAGGAACAAATTGTTATTCACAAAAATAAATACTCTTTTGAAAAGTAATTTCCCCCTATAAGCATAAAAGCACAAATCCCACTTACCTATGAAGACGGATAGGTAGTGTTATAGGAACGCAGTAAAAACGCTGAGAACACTTACTCTCTGACAACGAAGGCTAACATGTACAGGCTATCAGAAAGCTTTTCTAACTGCTCTTTGTTGCAGCACTGCACAGGACTATCAGATTCACATGTGGTACGTAGGTCACCAGGAACTGATAAGGCCGGACGACTGTCCACACAATAGTTCTTTTTACTGCACATTCCAAACATGACGCAATGCGCGTCCGTCCATATGCACAAAAGAGATAATGTGAGAAAGCAAACAGGCACGCAAAAGCTCCTCATTATCAAAGCTAAAAGCAACGGAGAAAATAACCATGAGGTTAGCAGCACAAATCACACTTAAAAATCAAAGCATAAATACTTATCGAAGTCGAGCTGATAACGTAATGGTAAAAATAACTGACTTCAGATAGCTTTAGTCCCAACTCGATTTGAGGTCTTGCGAAATACCTTCATTTTAAGGTAATCTTACAAAGAGAATCGAAACCAAGTAAAGTCAAAAAAAATTTTATTATCAAAATCACCCATGAAGAATTTTAACAAAATTCAAAGCGGGTTTAACAGTCTCTATAGTGCTAGATCATGATGCGTTTCTACGCTATGAGCCACAATAATAATACCAAATAGTTGCAGATGCCTTAATCCGATAACAATTGAATTTCAAAATTATCTAGGTTTAACTACGATATAATAAGCACTGTCTATTGGAGAGTTAAAAACGATCGTTTAAATTCCAAAGTTCGCAACCCATGTTATGCATTTACGCCCATCCGTAAGTGCTAAAGCGACACTTTTAGCGCAAAATTGGTTGAGAAGTTTGAAAATAGAAAAGAAAATTAAGGTGGTATTAATTTGTTACTGGCAATAATTGGATCAATCGCATTAAAACGTGTACTTGTGAAAGCAAGGTTACAATTTATTTAGTTTAGAATTTCATGGAAGAATGCTAGAAAGTACACATGAAGAAACTGATTTGCAAATATTTCCATGGAATATATTTTTTGCAGTTCATAAAATGCGTTTAGGTAAAATCGTAAGGCAGTACAACAAATTAATAATAGCGTTGCTCGGGAAAATGAAGTGATAAAAAATAAAATATTTGACTTGAATAAGACATGTGAAAGGGAATCAAACCAAGACGCATTCCACAACAATACAACAAGTGGACAGGCACAGGAAAGGCATAACAATTCTAATAAGATAAAGTATTATTATACCTTACTAACTACACTTTAAACACAAGAACAAACAGTGGCGATGAAAATCTACTAACCGAGAAAACAAGTTATGCAATAATTTTATTGGATTAGGCAGATTCGTTTAATCAATCAATAACAAAAGAGATGTAAATGGAACGTTTAAACAATTTTTTCATTCAATTTCAAAAATACAAAAAAACATTAAACATACATAGAAAAAATAAACGACAATATGTGTGACATTCGCCTATTTCATTTCCGATTTTGTGCATTTTCTTTCAATAACTCAGAATGAACTGCCCTTTTGAGGCAGAGCATTCGAGCCTGCTGCGTCACTTGTTCCTTTCATCTCCTTACTTTTGTGCTTTCCTTAATTCACATCTTTCGACTTAAAGGAAATCTCCCCTTACTCTCTAACCCTCCTGTTTTGTGTAAGGCTGTGGTGAGCAGCACGCGAACGAACATGATTCAATTGATTTACGTGAATGAACTTCACCTAACTATGTTCATTCAGGGATCGACGTTTAGCAAGGCTATATAAACGTACTTGTTATCTTGTACACACACAGCGCAACAATAAATTAGTTGAGCTACGAGCCATTCGCATTTTCTGCTCTTTCGGTCGGGCCGTATCATTGTAGATTGTCGGCCCTGGTGTGGTTTCGAAAACCACACCGGGGCCAACTACAAGGCATTCTGCAATACGCTAAAATGCTTTTACTCCTCTTCTTTTGTCGCGTCTGATAGCCAAGCCTGCTAGTGTGGTTATCTTTGAGATGAATGCCTACTTGTAACCTCCCAGTTTAAGTCCTAGTTCGATGAGATATTGTCATAAAGGCTGACTTACAGCATTTTAGGGATTAAAGCGCTCCCGCAATTTCAAACAGTGCCACACTATATTGCACATTTGCTCCAAAATCGATACAAAACCCGAATCTGGACGAATTTTACTCTATAAAATCTGTGATTTCAATATGTCCCAGTAAGAATGAACCATAACTAAAGACACTTACTGTACCCCCCAAACTTTATCAGTTTACTTGACATCAGCAGATGTAATATAATTGGAAACAACGAATATGAACACGCAATCAGGCATTCAATATGAAACTTGTTAAAATGACAGTTACGAAAGATTCGAGAGTGACAGGTACAGTTCACACGGTCTACAATCTGTTGCTACCCCACCCGGTAGCTTGGAACTGATTTTCTCCTTCGTTATTCGCAGGACTCGTTATGGGAGACTCCCTGCCAGATGTGGCAGCGGTTTCATCGGGTTGATTTTCAAAATCCTCATTTTCATGATGTTTCTTGTCATTAACAAGCAAAGGATTTAACGATGGCCCTAAAAAACGGAAATTCATTAGAAAGATCTTGTGCATAAAAAACACTGGCATACCGATGTAGCTTAAAATGACTGGTAGGAAGATGATGCCAATGAGAGCGCCAAAAACAACCATCCCAAGGTACATTCGGAAGTAGAAGACTTGGAAAAGACGAGAATTGGAGAAGGCCAATACAACTATGCCACCTAATTTGGTAAGTGTGATTCCACGAAGCACCTGCAAGAAAGATTACCACATGAACCAATGTCAACAGGTTTTCATTTATTTATTTAAATTAACACAAGCTTACAGAGCTACCCATTTCCGAGAGAGCTTCGTGAGCGCGCATAATTCGAGTCTTTCCGCAGCTTTGAGTGTAGGCCCGAACAATATGGGAGCAAAATTCAACGGCAATACCAGTGCACTATTAAATTAATAAATGGGTAAGTCATAAAAGCCATTATCGTTAAATTACAAAAAGCGAGCTGGTGCCTAAAAACGGCCATCACACGCTACCATTAAATAAATCGACACAATAACTCACATCAATTTCAGCATTATGTATCATTAAGTGAGTAATCCGACGTCTTTGACATGGTGGAAAACTAAGATTCACGATATTATTGCACTTTACTATCAATGCCAGAAGCTTATATTACCATGCGATTTGCAATAATTTTGCATAATTTTTACATCGTTTAGGCGAATGGCATTATTTCGTGGGATGTGCCTAAGAACGTTCACGAATGTTGCTTATTAGGCATGAAGGAAATACTTTCAATTTCGGTGATCTCGTGTTTGACGTTTCGTTGAACATAAAATTTCACCGCCCCATTTGTGCTCAAGTTCTTTGGGTGTAAAATGGCCGAAATTGGCTGGAAAAGTCCCTAAATCATGGTGGCTAGATATTACTAATAATAACGATGTAGACGTCGGGCAGTGCAAATAAATGGCCAACTCACCACAACTAAATTAACAAGAGAGATTGCATTGAGGTTGATGTTCCACATGCTCATCAGACCCAGCAAACTAATGTCGATGCACGCGACACCGAGGAAGACAATGAAGGTTGCGACGAAATTCAGACCCAGAAGGAACAGCGTGATCACCGCAATTGCCGCCAAGCAGACACTGAGTTGCACTGCTGTTTGGTGCAAAATCCCAATGTACTGTTCATAGAATACGTAAAACACGCTATAAAAACAAAAATTAGCAAATTTAACTATTTTGAATAACAAACAAAAGGCATAGTTTAAGTCTTCTTCAAAATTAAAAGAAACGTGGAGACAAAGGCGCACAAACCCGATTGTTAAGATGATTGTAAACTTACCTATAAGGGAATACAATGTTATCAGCGAGGGGATCAGACAGATTTGGACTTGACGAATTTTTCCAACTATCTGTGAGATTTTTGGCAATCCAGCGAGAAACCCGGAGAGCCTCGACGTAGTCGTGAGGCTCACGAAGCACAGTGTGATAGGTCATGAAGTGTGTAGCCCCTACGGAGACGTTAGTCGTGTTACCGCCCGGCAGCGTTTCAACAGCCGATGAGAAAGCTGCTTTTCCGCTAAAAAAAAAAAGAGCACAAGCGGCTCTTGAGACGACAGGTTGGAAGGAACTGCGTGTGGTGGTTGGCACGATGAGCGTCAACATCTACCTATGTCGTCATAACATTCTTTAACGGTCATATCAATTTTTCCAACACAGATGAGTGTCTTCGACTATTGCTTGCAGGGAAAGGGTGGCACATGTGGAAGGGGAAAGGAGAGTAAGACATGACTTACCCAAATGGACAGCTGGCGTCGGGAAGTTGTTGGAGGAAATGCATGATAAACCGATTGAAGTCTTCCCCCGCTGGCTTTTTCGGGCCTATTGCACCACAGGCTACGCAATCGGAGACATTGTCGGTTGAGTTACAGTAGATGTCGGTGTTATTTCTCAGCACCCGACAACAGCGCATTCGTTTATCGTCTTGGTCGAACCAGTTAAAGTATTGATCAATCCACACCATGGGAGGAGAAGCGATGTATGACCTGAAAGCAAGAGTTCAATGGCCACTTACATGAATGAGCACAATATAATGACCCCATTGCTTATGCAAAAAAGGTGAAGCAGGAGCCAAGCGTTCAACTACTTCCTTCCATATTCCACTGTTAGGGTTTTAATCTAAATTAGTTTTGTGCGCCTGTTCTTAACCGTTAGTAGGTCCAACCGTCGAGAGTCGAACAGGCTATAGATAACCACCACCAAACTCACTGTTGGGCATATTTGGAGTAGACGCTGACGAGATTTGGGAGGGACGTGTTGGGGCAGCCAGACACGCTGCACACCTGGCTTTGTCCGCTCGTCCACGAGGTGTAATTGTGACCGCGCGTGACCACAAAGTACACCGGCGGGCCTACGGCGAGATATTGCGCCATCGCGTCGAAGTAGTCCAGCACGTAGGAATCCAACGGCATGGAAAGACGCTGGTCCAGTCCCACCTCCAGATTTGTTGTAACCAGGGCGACGCATATACAAATCCATGCAAACAGCACTACCATGAGAATTGGTCGGATCCACTTAGAGAGAATAACGGGGGAGAGACAGCGTGACACGGCTTGGTATAACCACGTGCCCCCAGAAACCGCAGCTGAATATAGCAAAGGATGTCACTTTCGATCAGAACATAACGTTGTACTAATAAAATGTTAGTAACAGGTACTTTACCGTATTCTGGATTTTCACTGTTCACACCTGAACCAGCTGAGTTGCCTTCTTGGGGCTCCTCCGGTTGCTGTTCACTAGGACCAGTGGAGGTTGGATTAGGTTCGACAGTAGCGGTACCACTGTTCTCTGGTCGGCTTTTGACACAGCACAGCACATCCCATTTGCGAGCCTGCAAAATAAGAGTACACACGAGGGTAACAAAAAATGCGTACAAATAGCCATGACGAACTGTAGACAAATGACAACGACGCGTGGATAATCATTTATACCGTGCAGTATTTGTGTCAGCAACCGAGCCACCTGATTACCAAACCGCAAACACACATATGGCAAAGCGTAGCGACTGACCGCCGCGCGCCTGGCATCCAGTGTGAGGAGGGCAGTGAAGGCGAAAAGCTGCAGAAGGAAGTTGATGACCAGAGCGACGCCTGCGTAAAGCGCGAAGACTCGAACCGCGGGCATTGTGGTCATCGAACCTGCAGCGACAATGAGACAACTTGGGGGTTAGAAAGCAGCACCCTCTGCGAATTGAACAATCTCACAATTTGGCCACATTTACGCAGATTTAACCGCTTCAGTTGCTAGTGCAGACATCAACTACTACTCTGCAGTTTGACCTGGAGGATGTAGCCCAGTCGAAATTCCCACAGGTGCCACATAAATTTCAGTACGAAATTACAATTCGATGGTGGCATGGGTCGACAGGATTCCCTGCTGACCAATCATCGCGAGGAACAGTGTGAAACATGCGGTCCGCTACGAGGATTAAACGCACACGAACTTTCTGATCTACAAACAACGGATTCGACCGCAGCTAATTTACCTATTTAAGAGACAGGAATGCACTTAGTTGCAGATCTAACTGTGACTTATTGAAGACCATTAAAATTGTTCGCTGGTGCAAATAAGGCTGATTCCACCGTTACACCATCAAACTGGACTGAAGGCCTTACGATGGAATGTGGACGACATTATAAAATTTGTCCGACTGCTGTGCTAATTCATCTACAGACAAGTGTGAAAATGAAAGACACCCATAAAACACAAAGTGAGCCCTATTCCAGCACTAGGATGGTTGTTTAGGAAGACGGTAAGTGGATAGGTGGTAGCTCACCGCAGAAGAAGGCCACAGATTCGGCTGCGCTTGAGAGAAGCATCGAGGGACCCACACGGCCGAGGGTTTGCGCGACTCTTGCATGAACGTCACTTCGCAAGTGGCATTGGGTGTCACGAGCGCCGGCAAGAAGCGCCTCGCCTTCGGCTCCCTCGGGCTCCTGAACGCGAGGCCTGAGTTGGGAGGAGCGAAATTCAGCCAACTGGTAGTCTTGAACGAGGATGAAGATGTTGTCCACGCCGACCGCCAAGACCAGGAAGGGAACCACCTCGATTATGATGAGGGTCGCGGGAACACCCACGTAACTCCAAAGCCCGACTGAGGCGGCCACTGACGCGAGGACAATCAACACACCGCCCAAACCGAGAGTTACCTTCAGGTCGACCTACGAAATGGGCATCACGGTAAAATCTTTAAAGCAGATTTTGTACTACAAGACGACACTGATATCTGAGTTTGTCACTTCTTTTCTGTACGCGAAGCTTCATTCACCTGACGGCATCAAAGAACAAGTGCCGCAACCGTGAATAATTTCATGTGATTAATACAAGCCCAGTCACAAGCATAAACTGGTTATCAGCTGATATGAGGTAACCTTTACGGGCAGTTTAATAAGGCAAACAAAAAAATATCTAAAAGAGCAACTCACTGGCACGCTCCGACAGTTGGTGTAGGCTCCCAGAAAGAGGCTCACGTAGATGAACATTACGACGTAGCTAATGAGAACGGTCTGTACATCGGCATCCGACTGACGCTTGATTTCATCCTCCACGGATCGCTGAAGCAACCAAACACGATTAGGACAGAAAAGCGAAGAGGGCAGTTTTAAAAGCAAGCAAACGAACCTCGGCACTGTAGCTCACGATAACATCTTTGCCGTTGGAGTCCATCCACTCACGAACAGCCTCAAGGTAGGCCGACTCCCAAGCAAGGCATTTGGTGATTTGCGGTGATTTTGGCTCGGCGCTGTTCCGTACTAAGAAGGTTATCACAGCGGCCTCTGCTTTGGTATAATTTTCTGCAGACAAACAGCAAATAAGAGAATGTTGACGATTAAAACAGGTTAAGTAGTAAAATAACGATTTTATGCGATTTTGACACAAGTCAGTGTCACGAAAATGACTGACAACCCGTTTAACAACCAGGCTCCCGTTTTCGACTGTCAACCTACCACCACCGACCACAGGCAGTCGACGGATCTCAATCGGTCTGGATTAACAGCGGCCTCCAAAACCTCCAATTTACAGCAGTATTTCCTCACATTCTATTGCACCCTTTAAAGGTCTCCGCATGAATGGTAAAATATCAGCTTCTAATCACACCTTGTCACAGCTTGGAGTGAACAGCATGAGAATGTGCTTGAATGGGGGTTGTCAAAGCGCCCGTCGAAGTAAACCAACATCGGCCCAGAGCTTACGATTGTCTTGTGACTTCCACTGCTGCCTGGCGATGATTTTAGTGGTGTCTTGAGATGGGAGAAACAGTTCTACATTAACAGCAATAGTTTCAATTCTCCAATTACGCGGTTCTATGACAATAAAACCAACTAAACATATGGACATATCGGTTTAAAACAGGCTGTCCAGAATTTGAAATTGTCCACAGAAATAAATTAAAAAGCGAAAGAACGTCCCAGGAGGAATCCAAAATAGCTTCTTGGGAGAGTGATTTTGTGACGAACACAATTCCACGTAAGTGCGTAAGACGGGATTTTAAAAAGTGTGCGAAATTTTGAGGTAAGTCATGTGAGGTTCATAACGCACCTGGATGCGATATTTTGGTACTTTTTCTTGCACGGATTTAGTCACTTAAAATAGTGGGAAAACCTACACTGTCTCTAACTTTTTTTTTCAGACCAGGAAAGTACTTAGACGTGAAAATAATTCAAAGAACAGCAAGAGAAAGTGATGAGAGGAAAACATAGGACAGTACTTATACAATCGACTGCACCAAAGCCGTTTCCGCCTCCCACAGAGTTGGCGACTAAGTGAATTGAAAGGCTGTCCACAATTCGCACAAAAATGGGTCAAAACGTTCATCCAGAGGGCCATGATTACCTAACTTTAATTAAATACACACCCTTTTGAACAGGGACCAAAATTTTTGCCCTTTTGATCCCGGAAAAGCCTGCCACACAATGCAACAATGCTTAAACCAACTAGTTGAGTAGCAAGAAAATTTGAGAGGCGCCTTGGGATTGGTTGAGCGGGCGAAATGCGGGCTTGCCTTTGAATCCACCGAATACGACGTTTGGCATTTGAGGAAGCCCAGAAGATCCCAGACAGTTGGCCTTGAGAACGCTGCCTGTACACTCCTCCAAGTGCAGAAGGTAGTCCTAAAAGTGATCAATAAATCGATTTTACATCGGTTTTACATATAAAGCATTCGGCCTTGGATCCGTGAAGTGTGTCGTTGAACTGCGGAAAAGCACAAGTCACACCTAAGGTCATTGTAAATGTGGCAAATCAGAAATGATAAGGTTGATGTGGCTCGGAGAAGCCTGCAGCCTCGCAGTGGTCAAACGATGGTCACTAACAAATAACGCGGCCTAATATTACATGTACCGATTGTTTAACACAGCATTCATTGAAAAATGTTTGTGCCTGTTGGACTTGAACCGACTTTTCAAGTGCATTTACTGGGTTGAAATGCAGGACGGCTTGAATGTAGCGGTTTGTGTGTAGCATTCGTAGAAACCACATTTGCAAAAAACAGACATAAATGGATTTTGATTTGCAAGCAAAGCCGAAGCCGTTCAGAAATTGTGACAGCTGTAGTAGTGAGTTGTGGTATTACAAATTTTACCCTCCGACAGACCCTAAAGATACATCTGACCTGTGAGGTTTGCAACGACACACAGAGTGCAAACCCAGTGCAATTCATTAAATCCCTCGACTGGGGAGATGGCGAGTTTCACTAGCGGTACAAAGCAGGGTTCAGCAATAAGCCGAACCAAACCATCACCGTCACCGAAAAAAAGTAGCGTGGAGGTAAAAGACATAACTCGAGTAATAAAACTAAGAAGAAATTTGCGCTCATGCGTAGTACTCTGCCATGAATTTCAATCACCTCCTAGGCACAGTGAGCAACCATGATTTCACTGAGGGAAACGATAGTTTGACCTTGGACAGACGGTAAGCCGTGGCACGCTGGATGAGGTAAAAACCAAAACCAACTGGGTCAGGGATGACGAAGAAATTTCGGAGGTTAACAAGGCTGGCTCCCACGTGCACAAGCTACGACGCGCCACCTGCTGTATTGAGAAAAAACTATTGAGCTATGTTAGCACGCAGATGCCTTCCCAGCACTGTTTAAATTTATAATAATAAAGGTGACGGGTTTGTGTGGACACGTGACAGCGAAGGCATAGATCAGCGCAACACGACGAGGTTTATAAAACGGACCACATAATATAAACCATCCGATTGTTTGTCAGAATCTATTTCATGACAGACGCTTAGTCATGGACTTAATGCTTATTTGCGCGATCGGTTCAAGTCGGTTCAAGTCTCAGCAATTTAAAGTAAAGAGCAGAAACACCGCGCGGCGATTCCGACCAAGTACACGTTCCAACAGAGCAACAATGTGCCTCACAATTCAACCGAAAACAGCACTAGATGAGAGCGGGATTTGTGAAAAGAAAAGCGGCACAGAGGCAACTCGAAAAGGCTCACGGCTGGGAAAATGAGTTGAGGCATGAGTGCAGTTTAAAACCAAAGTCGATGTAAACAGCAATTTCAACGGTGAGTTGGCAAGTGCTAATTACTGTCAAACACACTGCCGCCTAGCGCAGAAGGACATAGGAAGTCATTTGGGTGAGGATAGAGGTTACTTTGCCGATCAGCAGGAACAATGAGGATCGAAGATTAGCCAATGGCATGACCCTGGGATTAAACAAGGCCTAAGAGAAACACGTCAACTCACACTGACGAAAACGCCTGACCGAGTGATGAGTTAGTCCTGCTGAACACACACACATCCCCGGACGAACACAGACTGACAGATTTGTGGGAATAATGACTTTGGAATAGATCAACTGGAGACAATGATGGCAAAAGACAGCAGAGATTAAATTTGCCTGGTTTTATCCCTTTCGACCACATCTTTCCTCAGCGCCCCAGCCCATTTAGTAAAATAACGACCCCTGCAGACATCGTGTGCACAGGCTAAACATTTTGGTCAAAAAAAAAACGCTTCAACAGCATCGAAGAACTACAACTTTAAAACTGCTATAGCATTCGCCAGTTTTCCCCAAAATTTTGACCACAAACTACATAAATACTTTTAAAGATTTTTTCGCTAATTTTTGGGTGAACCGTTTTGAAAATTACTTTCATACATTTCCCAGTGAATTAACTGTGACTCAAATATTAGCATGGGTCGCTATTGGGGATCCAGCATTCCCCAATACGGTTCATCGCGGGTTAGGGTTTCGTCATTATTTACTCGATTCCCCTGATCACACCGCTTCTGTGCGTGAGTCACCCATGGCACCTCACCGAAAGCTACATCCGTGTTAATCCGCCTTGTTTTATCGGGGCAAGATCATCCTTCGGCACATTGTGACAGATCACTCGGCCTCTGGTTGAAACACTGAAAGCTCTCTGCACGAGATCCTGCCTTGTCTTACATCAGCGTGGAAAGGTGGTGGCTAGCATCAGACATGGAGTCTGAGTGTGCGGGACCTGGTTACAGGCAACACGTAACAGTTGCTGTACTACAGCACTGGCTTCCTTCAACGCCAAGTATGTTGCGCGGCCTAACCTTGACCATCCACCCGAGCACCAGAGAATGGCTCCACCAGAGTAGGCGTTTTTTTTTAGCTAGGTGGAGCGACTGGTAAAAAAACTACGAGGCATTGTGCTCCATGACAGTTGGCAAGATTGAGTCGAGATTGTGACAAATCGGAAATTAGGCGGGTGGCGTTGTACTGGGGTGTGAAAAATACGAGCTTCTCGACGAATATCAAACTCGAGGCTTAATTCAGCAAAACAAAAGATGCTAAAATTAGAATGCGGTGCTGAATAGCTAGGGTTTTTACCATGAATACTAATTACCGAGGACTCTTCGAGTAGTGACTTGCAAACTACCGAAAACAATGACAGGTGCTTAATGTCACACAAAACGGACGGAGTTTGTAGGAAGTTAACTTCAACCGGAAATAGCCACGGAGCAGCAGTAGAGAAAGCAATTGTAGTCTGCGCCAGCAAATGGGTTACGCATACAACATAAAGTTAATGGAATATTGTAAAAAAATTGCGTCGAGGACGAAGGACACCCACGTTTTCACCAAATCAGTAAAACATGGAAACCGCATGGTGGGGAGCAAGATTCGTTCTTCATTTAACAACGAAGACATTAGCGGTATAACGGAGTAGAGCCGAAGATGCGATATTCGCAATACTCCGTAGACAAGGCCACGTAAAGAAAGGATAAGCTTACACAGGCTGAAAAGATTTAAACCACGAGACTTCGTTGGCTCAGCTAACCTCTTTCCAAGGAAGTACCACGTACGTCGGAAGTTGAAATTTTAAAGATAAATTGCGAGTATTGAGTTTGGTGGGATCCAAACGGACATTATTGATGATGACCCCCACGAACCTTTTGAGGAATTTACAAGGAGCCTACTTTCCTGACAACACGTTACCAAAAGTATTCAGGTAGAACACACAAACTTTGAAAAGAGTTGATAAAAAGTGCACTATTCATTAAACGATTTTGGGCCCACTGAGAAATTAACTAATCGGGACGGAAACAAACAACATCCATTACCTGGGATTGGACGGAAAGGGCAAAAATGAAAGTCTACAACTATTGATTCTCCATATTCCACGAAGAATGCGCATTATTTCGCCATTCCTTAGCAAGTGTAGATCAAAACAATCCACCGCGCCCTAAGCACACAGCAATAAATTTTGAGGAATTAGATTGTAAATGTTTTCGCGGTAATACCAAGGAACAACGATTGTCACACCTGAAGTCTGCAACGAATCAATTTTTATGCGAAAGAATCTGCGTTACTGACTGACAGGCGACGTGACAGCCAAATGGCAAAAACCCTCCGACAGTACTATGATTTCAGGCAAAATGATCACTTAATGCACTCGACAAAAAAAAAACACGGGAGTCAATGAACTCACAGAAGAGTTGAAGAGAGTTGCATTGTGCTGGAAGTACTCCAGAGGGCTGGTTACGCCACACTCCTTAACTTCCGGCTCCATGGGCTTGAAGCAGATGTCGGCGAGGAAAACATTTTCTTTGGTTTCCGCATCGTAAGCCACCACCTTGGCCACTCGCAGCTGGAGATCGAGGACCTTGGCAGGTAGAGAGGAAGGAACGTTGGACAACTTCGACTGTACATCCGCGAAAATGCCGCACCAGCAATAGCACGGGATCAGCGCTTACAGAAACGTGAAGCGAATAGCGGGACGACTTTTTGGACCTGTAAAAGCACCCCCAAGTTATGTGGTTGACGTCCGCTTCTCCCCATTCGCAGGCAGCAGCCCTTACAACTAGGCTCCATATGTGCCCAAAATTCCAACTGCTGCACAGTGCATGTGGAGTTAGAGTAAAGAAACCCACCCCGGCTTTTAATAAATGCTGGAAGAAGGCCGAGCGTTAACACTTCTAAATAGGCCTTCAAACATGGCTGTGGTAGCGTGGAACGAAGGTGGTTTGACTGGTGATGCAACCCTATTGTTTACCTTTCATGTTTTAACCAGTGCGCGTGAGCTGCAAGCAACTACTTTCGCACGCGAGGGATTAGCGAGCTAGAACCAGCCTGCAGTACCGATACACTACTTGGCAAGATCACACAAGCCTCGTAAAATCGTCCTACCATAACTGAAACAAAATTTTGAGGTCATTTTTACGTCATGGACATCATTACTGGAACCAAAGAAAGGTGCCGCAACACCAAGTGAGGCCTCGAAATGATGCCTCGCTGATTTTAAAATCGGAAGGTGGTAGTTTTGCTGATTCGCCAACGGCAGTGTCAGGCAAGTAAAGCATGCCAGGACAGAGTGACTTCGCTGGTGCCAGACACATTCCAATAAACAATCAGTCCAGTCACCACGTGATTATGCCCTACGGTCGTAGCTATTTGATAAACCACGCAAACGATAGCAAAGAGAATAAGTTGGGGAACGCCTGGTTCGAAAGAGATCCTCTCCACGTTTATGGACTGTCAAACCCAGAGAAAAGGAGATGCGGCTGCTTGGTTTTAACGACATGACTGCGATTACAGCCAATAGCAGCACTTTTCTCCACAACAAGTTCGTTACTAGACGCTTAAGAGTTTTCCTTGTTAATCCGAAGATCTACTCTTAAGGGCTTGTGTTGCATTAACGAGCAGTAAACGCATCAAGATGAACAGAGCGTCATTCACTACTGACTCACTTTGTCCAAAAAGTCTTTTCTAAAAGCGGGTCCAAAGGTGCCATTTTTCACAGGAGTGCGATTTGCAGGCCGCAAAATGAGCTGTTCGATGCGATAAAATGGACTGAAAGAGGACATAAGCGATTACAACAGAAAAAATGTCATCAACAATGAACATCAATGCGTCGGTGATAGACTGCAAAATGAGCACATGAGTGAATTGATCTCGCAGAAGTCGATGTACAGACTGACTGCCACACAACAGTCAATTATAAGCAGAGGTGACAAATCTACTCGAGCAAGGGTTGCAGCGATCGTGTTTGATTTTAATAAATCTTTAGAAAGTATCAATTCTAATTGCCTCACTAGCTCATCGAATGATTCTGTGAAACTTTTATTGATGCAAAAAGAATGAACGAATTCATGCCAGGATTCAGTGAGCATAACCGACTACCGAATTTATTTCCGACCCACAGCTCACATGCATGGAGAATATAGAGAAGGAACCGAAAACACTCCAGAAAAAAACGAACACCTAGGGGAAAAACGCTAAATCAACCCAGGAGAAAGTTGAGAGAAATTTCTCTCCAAGTGTAGCAGGGCTTGAAGTTGACAAAATAACAAAGAGGAGAATTAGTCACGAACCCAAAGTGAGCATCGAAGTAGTCCTTTTCCTGGCGAGCCCGCGACCCGCGATCGCTCCACAATTCAATCGGATTTGTCGTTACAGTGAACATTGTGAGCCCGCCACAAAGAAATGCAATAATTATGGCCAAGAAAAGAAGAGTGGCAATCGGGTGCTGAGCAATAACCAGTCCCAGGCGAGAGAAAGCCTGAAGAGGCAACAAGAAGTCAATTTGGAATAAAATAGTCTCAGTATGAGAATTTGCCGTGTTTAAGGCAAACTCTGCAATGGCAGTGACACAGAAAGGCGGCTGATATCAGCAAAAAGGAAAGATCAATAATCTGTAAAGTGGCTGGTTGGTAGATATCTGAGACATGAGGCAACAGATGTGTTGACACGTTTGGCAGACTTGGAATTTGTTGTCGTAAACACAACGCTATTACTGCGAAGGTAGGTCTACAGAAATGTCGAGATAGGCATGAAATAAGTGGGCACGTGGATGCATACTTTGAAGAGCGCGCGGTCAACTGCAGCTCCGAGTTGTCGCTGCCAATTCGCCCGCTTGGCTGCACTGGCCTCCGCCGTGGGAGTCGATATGAGCAATTCGGTGTCCCCACGGCTCGCCTCGTGTGCCAGGCGGCGGTTGCGTCGACACACGAACACCTGCCAGACCGTGAAGGCTGAGAAGCCCACTACAAATAACACCGCAACGAGGAGCCACGACAGGGGAAAGCCTAAAACACAGAGGAACTAGAGTTCGCATTGCTGATGATGCTACCTAGAACAATCGATTTAACCAGCTAGCACCACAACCAAGTGATGGCACAGTAAATGACTACGTATCTATTCATGATATCTCGAGTGGGTTTCGTAGGTGAAAGAAAGCTGACATCAACTTGAGGTAGGACGTAACGGTTTGCCTACAACCGAGTTTCGACACAGTTCGAAAACGAAACAACAAAAAATGCACTACCTTCTTCATCAGGCGCCCCTGCCCAAAGAAGCCACTGGCCCTAATCAGGACGAAAAACCACATGTGGCCCTGTGAGGAGTAACCAGTGACAATCGGAAAGAACTTAATGAAGTCGTGACTATTCCACTACTACCTCTAGGTCCTGAATGTTGTGGGAGAAGAGGGGTTCAAGTTATACATGCACACTTTGGTAAGCTTCATTCATTCTCCTTTAGAATCCACTTTTTGTGTGGTTGATATCAATTATACTCGGGAGCCTTTCGATATTTCTCAATTGGAGTGCAATCCGTTCGTTGCATTCAACACTCTGGAGTACATACGTACAACACGGTCATACCGCCACAAGAAAACATAAACACAAATTTGCATTACCAAATACGTAAATTTGTTTATCTGGTGTAGGAAAGTCGGGTGGAGGGCAAGCAGCGGGGCAATCTGAGCAGGCACATGCGCTTTGACTAGGATTCGGTCCCAGCGCGGGTAGACTCATGTTGCAGGCGTATGTCGGGGCATTCATTGGTGAGTAATGAAGTTGGTTTTGAACGAGAGTGAAATTGATGCCAAAGGGAGCGAGACCACCACTGCCTTTCGACTTTCCCAGCGCCTTCAACAGTTTCTCCGCGTTGCAGTCACTGCTATCACAGATAATTGAAATTGCGCGCGTTCCTCCAAATTGGACGTTCTGTGTGGTTTTAAAAATTGTAAATGAACATAAAAAAAACCTGATTCATGATATAGTAGTATGTCAGACTTTCAGGCTACACCAAGGCAATACCAGTTGAATATCATGGATATAAACCACAAACAAAATCGACAGCAGAGAATGATCGTTGAATCTGCCTTATGTCTGAAAATTGAAGAGCACGTTTTGTTAAACTCCTCTGGATCACACAAATCGGTAGCAGGATTTCTTAAAAAGTCGACAAAGTTGGCATTAGTTGAGGTTTTCTTTCAATACATAGCGTAAATTATGGAAAAAAATTAAAGTAAATCAGCTTTAAAAGATCACTTTAAATTATTGTGGCTTTCAGAAACCTATTAAACCCCAGAGGGTCTAAAAATTAGCTTTAACATTAAGCAAAGCAAATTTGTTGAGAGTGAAACGACTTAATTATGCACAAAATAAAGTTGTTACTTAGAAAAATACTACCACTATTGAATTAAGTCGAATGGATTAATGCTGGAAAGAAAAAAGCACGTAAACCAAAAACAGTAGCCATCCCAAAAGATAACTGGGTGGATATGTAACATAGTTCGACTTACCGCGCAACTGTCATAGAACCCGTTAGCAAAGGCCCACGTAAGGACGTATTTCACTTCAGTTATAGCGTGATCAGAACGGACAGCAGTAGCTGAAAGAAAACTGCTCTGTGAAGGATTGCAAGTCATTTCACAGAAGAGGCGGCGAAAATTGGCGAAGCAGGAAGGGCAACTTAAGGGAAGAAGTAAGCAAAAGGCGTTGATCATACCTTCCTAAGATCAATTTAGCCTGCTGAAGTGAACTCGTAAACACCTCAACCTGATCAGATGAGCAGCAAACCGGCAGAGAAGCATTACTCGTCTGTGGGTTTGTATACTCAGGACAGGCTTGGAGAAGCTTTGTTAGAGAAGCATCGGATATTGACTGAGGTGGACCAGGTTTGTAGCAATACAGGGCATCATCATCCTTCGTATTGTTGCACAGGCCCCTCCAGATACATTGTCCATCCGCAGCACAGGCACGGAAAAACTGGACAGAAGCAGCAATGAGAAATATCACCAAGGTGTGCTTCTAAAATAAAGAAGAGCCGTTTGTTCATTAGAACACCCTTCAGCACGAACAAAGACATTTTACAGGAGTATTTAACGACAGATGAATTAAATAATAATCATTTAGAGACACAAAATATTTCGGTACAGAAAAATTCGGAAACCTGAAACTTGCATAAAAGGTAGTGGGCTTTTGGTGTCATTTTAATCTGCTTAGTGGGACTATCCACAGTTGCAAAAGTTATTCAAAAGAGAAACAAGTCATAAAAACGGGAAAATTTGTAATACATATTGCAGAAATATCGAGAATATAACCCAACTGAAGTTAAAGTGCCAAAAAGAATTTTGGACAGACAACATTAACCCGTAGTACCCGGGCTTCAACTCAGTAGAAAAAAGTATCATTTAAACCAGAAGTAAGTCTCAAAAACGAATGCATCAGGCTGCATAAATTAAATGGAGGACAATGCATTTCAATGGACGACATCGTTTTGGCTTAGCAGACAAATAAATCCAACCACTGTCATTACTGATTATGCAACTCAGTAAAACCCACCACCATTATCAACCAATTAGAGGCGTCCAAAGGATTCCAAATTGACCGCAATTGATTTAAGGTCGTTTTAACTTATAAAAAGATAAAAAGAGATGAAAGTTGAAAAATTTAGTTTTACTGTAATTGGCTTGCTTAAGTTAAAAAACACGTTGCAATTCAAAAGACCCTTGTAATTTTGTAGGAAATGCTGGGTAGTTTTCACTTAGGAAATTAGTGTTCATTTACACTTCAAATTCATTTATTGTGTAAGCTTATGATTTTAATACAATTGTTCATGACGTATCTCTAAATTGAAGGCAATGCGACTAATGATTCCGCTTTAATAGTTCGTTATGGCCTGCGTTAATGACGCCGTAAGCTCCGTGCACCGTTCTACAGAGCTTTTATCCACAAATGTCTGGTCTCAAATTTGCAGCTTACGTGAGACACCATTGTTAATAGAATCTGGTTTAACCATACATTTAATTTGAACAAACCATAAATTATAGCCTTAAGTGCTAAACTATTGAGTCAAGCAATTCACTAGTAAAATCTTCATTCATTTTCTCTCTGTAGACCCCATGCCATATGTACACCGCTTGAGCGAAGCTTGCATAAGGTCGAAGTGGCAATTCGTTGTTCGTACATTTTGTATGTATGTTATCTTTTTTCTTCAATGTCATAACCTTCAAAGTTCAAGCTTACCCCTACGCTTTGCTTAAGGCGCCAGTTTTTTATTCATCCTACTTTCCATTCATGGGCCAGAAATTTATGTTAAAAAATCATGGTTTAATAATAATGCATTAATTCAGTTATCTAAAGACTTTACTCAAAGTTGTGGTGAATAGCTAAATGGCCTTGTTTCATAATCGTGCAATGGCCTTCATGTCGCAATTATTAGGCAATATTTCAGTCCAGATAAATTTGCTCACGCTGTTGTTTCATGACAACTTAACTAAAGGGAGATCTTTATTGGTTATACAAAATATACTAATAAAATTAACTGCTGCATTAGATGTCATACTAGCAGGCCTTCTAGACATTCAAAGCACGTATTCCCTATACACAAAAAACCTGTCGTAAATTCAACCAGTATATTTCTGCCTCATTCGCTTCCTATTCATAGGAGTGCCTATTCATATTTTAACTAGTTCCGAACCATTTTGAAATGGCTTTAGTACGGCGATGGTCACGTTTACGACTTCAAACGTAGAAAATCCTGCTAATCCGCCTACTCGACCTTTGCAAAAACTGAAGCCCTACTTGGATTCACCTAACAAGGAGGGGTTAGCCGGCTGACTAAAGGTACAACTGGAGCGACAATTACTTGATGAATTTAAATATAGTGGGTGTGTCTGCCTAGGGTAACACGAACAAGTAATCACATAATGCAAAAAGCCCGTTTTCAGATGCTGCGTTGTTACAAATTTTCCGAAATGGGTGAACAATTTGATGAGCTGAGTTATTCGACTCGTGACTTTTTGTTCTATTTACAAGACATGCCCTAAATTTTTCTGCAAAATGCAATTCATATGAGTTTTCTTTTGTTAACCAAGAAATGCACAAAAGTTAAAGAAGCAAAAAAACTGGTAAATATGAAGGATTTGTGGACAGTAAGGTCGCTGTCGCAATTTGCATCTGATGACTACAATTGAAACTTTATTTTCCAACCAACTGTTGGCGTTAATAGTGCAAAGTTGAACTAGTGTCAATGACCAACTATTTCTAGAAGGGGTATAACCCAAAAAAAAAAACATAAACCTAAGTCCGGCTCCAGTTGACTGATTTGAACAAAATACTTGGAGGAACCGCTGACGTCGCTGTCTCAAATTTCCAAAAAAATTGCACATTTAACTCATTGCAAAGGTCGACACTAATGGCATAACCTGCCCCATTAAATTGGACACCTTCTAAAGCGCAAACAAATGAATAATCACGTTTTAATGCAATTAATCTGTACATGGGACATAAACATTCGGCCTATTTTTTTTTACTGGCCCTCTTGTGCCGAATTTTGGGCCCGAGTTTCTTGGGTAAAATCCGCAAGGTCCCAGTTTTCCCCTTCTTCCGGAGTTTTTGCTTCTTTGCAATTTTGCTGGCTCTAACTGACTGGCGAATGATGCTCGTTTGGCCACCGACCAATTTGGATTCATGTACCATCTAGAATGAACAAAAAGGGGAAGATGGGATGAGTATCGGGTCCGTGTGTGACGGTTTGTTGTGTGATTGGCTAAACTGTTCCACTTAGACACCTTGTGGTTGCTAAAATGTTTTCAATTTGATGAATATGGGAGGGAATTTTAAGTGGTTCATGAGGTAGACCAGCGACAACCGAAGATAATATTATCCCGACTTGAATTGGCCACAGATTTGAGTCAACAATTTGGAAAACCACCGACAATCTTGCTAACGGCTGACTCTTCCACCAAAATGCACACCTAAACGTCCCAAACAGAAGAGGTGGAAGTACGCTATTTGGCATGTATGTAAGTAAATGTGTTCTATGCTGAATAAATGACAAAAGTATTAGTAAAGCTAGAAATGTTCACAAATTTCCTTGAAAGACCACATCAACGTTGTTGAGCTGAAACCTGGTGATCCACCCGGAAAGATGAGTGATACAAGAGAGCCAACGATTGGGAGCAAGCTCAAAAAATAAATAAAAACTAAGACAAAATGCTAACAAGAGCTTAAGCAGCACATTTTTTTTAGAAGTAGCAAGCCGAATGTTATAATGACCCAAGAAGTTTGAGCAACTGGTATCAGGAGGCATAGTTCTGGATTGCCTCATTTCGCATGTTCATTTGTTGATTGGGTTGCAAAGAGCCAAGATTGTGGTCTCTTCTTACCGATATAGCTTGTACCAGCACAAATTCTGCCAAACCTTACACGCAATTAGCGTCACCGCTGCAGTGAATAGAAACTGGCCGACAGACGCCAGACAGTCAACGTCTTCCTAGTGATCTCCTTTGTCATCGCTCGTGCATACAAAGAGAAATTGTCAACACTATCACCCACATACACCCCTAGTGTTGACTGAACCGGTAGAGTTATATAATCTAGCCGTATGAGTGCTGTAGGTTGTTCAGAACCATGCACTACAAGTTTGGCGTTAGTACACTTCCAATTTCTCAATTTGAAGCTTCATTCACGCCTTGCACACTACCTCACTATTATAAAACATCTGCTCCTCTACTTAGTGGTAGGACAGAGATTAAATCATGGGCCAAAGTGAGAGGAAATCATTCCACATAATTGCACTCGAAGCCACTATTTCCTTGGGATTTACGATGCATCACCTTTTTCAAGGACGTGTGCGCCACCCGACATCAAAGTTACAGTAGAATGGACTAAAGCTACATCATCGAAAACTACTGATAATTTGATTGGCGAATATATGGATGACAGAGGGGATTTCAACAGCTGGTGGGCATGTACTCTTGCCGGTTGGCTGCTTAAAGTGCAAGCAACAGGTGTCACAGCATCACCTGCATTTCAGAAGTGCTGAACGACTCTAGACCCAACATTCAGGGACATCGTCAATTGCACACGGGGCAAAAAACTTACTGGTTTGCAGAAATTAAAACAACATTTAAGGTACGTTTTTCAGTCGAGTAGAATGTTGCATGATTATCCATGTGAAGATTATCCACGGAAAAAATCCCTGTCTTTGGTTAGTCCATCATCATCTATTCAAGGGTACTCACTAGTATGATGATCCTTTCAACGTCCAATGCCCAAAACAGCTGCATGTGGGGGTCAGTATCCAATCGAATTTAAGTATGGTTGTATGCATTCAACACAACTTCAAGCTGTTTTTGGGCATAAACCAATGAATTATCGGAGGAATAATCCCCATAGACACGAACGGAGATATTTGAAGATGGTCGAACGAATGGATAAAGATTTGTTAAAGAAACGTACTAACTGCTTCGCCCAATTTTTTTCACAACAGTGTTGATTCGTTGCGAATATCCATGTTAGAAATACGTTGGATAATCAAACGCTCAAGTACGCAAAATAAGTTTAATCTGCTTAACAAATGACGTACTTGAGACTTTAGGGCGCGCCGTCGCTTCTTTTCAAGGGCTTTTGAGTTTTCCAAAGAGAATTCCACGATGGGTTTCTAGGAAGCGAATAAATAGATCGTTAACTTACGATTAATTAAAAACGATCACCAAGTTCAACAGCGAGACAGACTGTGATTTTCAAAATTTCAAAGATTAACAGAGTAAACGATGCTTCTCACTTATACTTTTTTGCTATTGGAAATTTGACTGCTGCATTTACTGATGGACAAGAAACGATAGGAGGAAACGAGATATAAATAATGGCTGGTGAGTTCACGTAATTACCATGAAAATGAAATCAGCCTTACCCTATTACCACCAAGGATACCATTGTTATTGTTAAGCACTTGAAGAGTCTTAAGAGCGTCCTTGTGTTCCTCGAACGCAACAAACGCATAACCAAGCGACTTTGGATTCTGTGCTCCACTTTTTATATCCCGCATTACGCGACACTGTAAAAGAATAGAATTGTCGTTACGACGGTCACAATGTGTGGCAAAAAGGCATGGAACTCTAGGACGGCAGTTAATTTGTGAAAATTGGAACAACTACGTCTGTCCTTACAGTCCCTTTGAGAAGAGGAGCGAGCACCAACCAATGCAGATTCTGATTCTGGGATAAATGAAGCTTCAAGGCGGTAACGGTGATCACAAGCATGGTGCTGAATACGATGTCACACAACTCAAGTTGACATGTTTTTTTTTAATTTTATAATAGAAAAAAGGTTGATTGGAAGGGTAAGCCGGACCATAGCTTTTTGCGGACTTTACTGGCGTTAACTCCAGGCACTTTGCGTTACAGTCAAAGGTTTGTTGGAAACCAGAACCCTGATAGTCTATAAGACGTCCATTAGTAAACCTGACTATGATCACGCGTAACTGAAGGAAGTCTGAATCCCCTTACCTCAGTTATGCGCGCTCCCGAACCAGCAATTTTTTGGCAAGCCCGGCGGAGTTTTTTGTTGTCCACATCCAGAGGAATATTGCGAAGGCAAAGACGCAACGGACTGATAAATATACTGGGGTTCCGCAACTTGGCTTGTTTAGTGCGAATCACGGACTCCCGCATTGCTAACTCCGTTGCAGTCAGGCCCTCGGCCGCTCGACTTCCAGGACGAATAACTGAGTACAAGATAACCACAAATCTAATTTAGGAACGTTTCTCACGATTTTGGCATGAAACGATGAACAAACGAGGAGGGGACTATCTACATCAGTAGGGTACTTCGTTGATACCATTACAGCCATAATACAGAGGCAGAGAGTGAGTTTAATCATTTAGTATACTTTATTTAATTCAGCAACATACTGCTTGCCACCCAATTGCAATATTATTAACGATTTAGATTCCTGATATGGACATTGGTAAATAGTTAGGTTTTTGAGACATAAGATCGTACGGCCTGGTAATGGGTAGAATAACAAGGTGGTATCACCAACAACGTTAATGCCAACATCAACCTATGTAGTAGGAAATAAATACTTGGGATTTGTACTGATTAGTAAGGCACCACAACAACGTGGAAGATTTGCAAAAGCTATTGACAGCAGGTACAAATGTGAAGAATTTGCGTTTTACACACTTAGGTCGTAAAATCAATTTTGTGCATTCAAATGATGTGATCTGGTATTGTATACCTTGCACGAAAACTAAACAGTAGTCTTAAATATAAACGATAAATTCAATGCGAAAAGATGAGGACATAAATTTTGGGTTGCTAATACCAAAAAAATCGATGACCTGAATGTCTGAAAAAGGAAAAGGTTACATACAGGAATTATAGGAGCTATTTTTTACCTCTGATATGGGCAGTTGAGGATAAAAAGCACCAATGATAGACAAAAATTGACAAAAAACCTACGCCCAATGCGTGCAAGGTGCAAGTTCCTCCCACCGAAACAACCGACACTTGCGGGCTCCTCGCCGGAACGGGCCTTTTGCAGCTTAGAAACTTCATCTCTACTGACGGCCAATGACAAATTTAGTAATCTGCCGGCGAAAACGAACCGGTGGGCATGCTGAAAGGTTGATAAAAATAATAACGGGTACGGTGATATGCAATAAGCATAAAACAAAACGTAAACATTACCTCCGCTTTTGAACTCTGGATAAGAACTGTTTCTGCGTCCTGCTTCGATTTAAACTTTACAAAAGCAGTTCCTCGAGAATGCAGTGTTAGTTTATCTTTCACTATTTTCGCGAATTCGATCTCCCCGAAATTAGCGAAGAACTGATGCAAACTTTCTTCGTCTGCGTCAAAGGTTAAATTCCTGGTCGAAAGATATCGTAAATACAATAAAATATACCTGATAAATATAGTACGACCTTCTGTCACATCATTCGATCCGAAAGGTGTGGCATTATCGTGTACCACGGATACCTAAGGATAAAAAAGAACCACACGCTCTTACATCACCATTGCTACCGCAGCTTCGCTTACTGGGTGCTTCGTTAAAATCAACGTGTCCCCCTCGCTGGTTCACATTAAGTGTTTCAGATTTACCAACGGCTGAAGAATCCACGAGGCGGGACTGCAAACGGGCAGAACATTTTTGTTTCTTGGATTTTTTCGAAATAAAAAATTCGTCGCTTTGGACTTGACCTTGGGTTTTTACACCAGATTCTGAATGGGAGCCGGACCTACGCCCCATACCAAAGTAGCCCGATGAGAACTGCAATGTAGCGTAGTGTAGAGTGGTTTGTGTGGCGGTGTAGTATGGTGTTGTGGTGTA